CAGGTTCGGCTGCTGGTTGCAAATGGATAATTGTAGCCACAGACTACCTCACTCGCTACGCCGAAACCAAGGCTTTGGAGTGGGGCACGGCAAGTGAAGCAGGCCGCTTTTTCATTGAGAATATAGACCTGAAGTATGGCGCTCCATCTGTAGTAATAACTGACATAGGAAAAGCATTCACAGCCGGGCTATTACACACAGTTTTAAGCCTAAGTGGAACATCTCACCGACGTACAACGGCATACCATCCACAAACAAATGGTCTTACGGAACGGCTGAACTAAACGCTTTCGAATACGCTTTGCATCAACGTCGATGTGGAGCAAAAGAACTTGGATGAAATACTTCCTTATGTCGCTTTCGCGCACCAAACAGCGCAGCAGAAGACAACACGCAACGTCGTCTTTCTCAGAAACTGCCACTCAGGATGCTGGCTTCTTCCTCCTCTGTTGTGCTTACGGCTAATAATCGTAACATTAGCCTCCCTTCCAAGAAGGCATCGTCCGGATGCTTTATCGTCATGGCGGCACGGTTTGTAGTCACTGGCAGCCCACGGGTTCACCGGGACAAATACTTCTCTGTTCTGCTTACGGCTAATAATCGTGACAATATTACCCATACATGGATTCATAGGCTTTTGAAGTGTAAAAGCTTTTTACAGTGCCTTGTATGCTCCAAGTATAGTAAATTTTGACACATAGCATATTTTACATAGTATGACTTGCATCGTACCAAAGATCAAATCTTGCTACTATTCAACATTGCTTTCACTTCACTTCAAACCAAACAGAATTTCATTCGCACATGCCTTGTTCTGGTTTTTAAAAAATACAGGTTGTTTCAAGAAATGCGTCCAAAAAAAATCGGAAAAGGTGTTATCTCGTCTTCACAGTTGCTTTTTCTATGGTGGCAGGAATCTAAAAGAAGGTTGAAGATACAGTAATACCTCGTTAACTCGAACTCGCATATCTCAAAAAATCGGCTAAATCTAAATTTTCTGCGGCACCAAACCTTCTTTGTTATGTTTCATGTATTTTTTTTTCCTTTATCTCGAAGTATTTATGGATCATATTGCGGATATCTCGAAATCTTGAGTGGGAGTGGAACGGAAATTTCGCCAGCAGACCATTACACAAGATTCGCGCGATGCTGCTTATGCCTGATATCCGCAGTCAAATTTTTACTTTTTATTTCTTAGTTAGCCACACCTGCCGCTGCGTCGATACTTTCTGTGAACGTGAAGTCTGAGCCTAGCGGCATATCAACTTTGTCGAGGAACTCTGTGGCACGTCATGTGACTGCCACGCAGCAGGCCTGTGGTAGGTGTTCTCTGGCCTTGCTCATTGCCCCACTCTTGGTGTAGTTGTGTAGTCGTGTCGTTTTTCTCGTTTGTTTGGCAGTCCTTATTGTTTTTCTCTGGTGTGATTTCCATTCAGTCTAATCTGCGCAACGCATGCGGTACAGATTTAATGCTGACTTTGAGGGAGCGGTGACTTAGCGTGAGTGCGCCAAGCATGGCATCACAAAAGCAGTGCAAGTCGCTAACCCTAGAAAGGAACACCCTATTCCCGAGCACGACCGCAAAGCAGACGAGCATTAGGGAGTTTTTCTCCGCTAAATAAAATGGAAGTGCTGCAAAATCTAGCTGGTTAACATCTCTTGTGTGATATTGTTTTTGTCTTTTAAACTTTCACGATAAGAACATTAGCAACTGCTACTGAATAGCCTGTAAATAGTAGTGATTTTGCTAAAATGCAGCTCGATTTTTCCCGGCGATTTGTGCAACTTCACTTATGTCGAAAAATTCGCTTATCTCGAAATTTTTCTTGGTTTTAACAATTTTGAGTTAGCGAGGTATTACTGTACTATTTGGAATGGTAATTAAAATGCTGAAATAATTAACTCTTTAATTAGTGGAGTTTGACAGTCAAGTCAAATGGGAGGATTGAGGTCTTTTATGCGAAGAACGGATTGCCGGTTTGAGATTTCGAAAAAGTGACCTTTAGTAATAACTGTGAAATAATCAAATTCTCTCCAAGTCTGCAGCGAAACACAAACCGCAACGTGAGAGAGCGCAACTAAAATGAGGGATTGTTGTTATATTAACCATCAAATGACCTTGTTTTGTGGGTGTGTGGGCTGCGCTCGCAATTACAGCATGCATGACGCACATACGTTACCGAATGGGAAGAACTGCACCCCTGTATCCGCTGTTTTGAACAGTCATGTCATTGTCGTCATTTGCTAGTTGCGCTCTTGGGTTCGTTGGTTTCAGTTTCATTGTGTAATTTAGGAGAAATTCATTATATTGTAGATACTACTAAAGGTTGCTTCTCTAAAATATCAAAGCAGCAATAAATTTTTCTCATCGAGCACTTCGATTCTCCCATTTGACCTAAGTGACAAACTCCACTAATTAAAAAAGCAATTTAGCTGTACTAATTATCATTTCAAATGATGTCTTCGACTTTCTCAAGATGCCTGCTGCTACAGTAAAAGCAACTGTGAAGACAGCGAGCAAATAACGTCTTTGGCTGATTTTCAAACAATATTGGACACCTTTCTTGAAACACCATGTATATTGTGTATGTTAGTTGGGTTGTTAGTAATATGCTCATGACTCTCTTGATATGTGATATATACTATTAAAAAATTCTATTCGAAATAATTCAACCAAATCACTTCTTTTAGGCTGGTGGGAATAGTCAATTCTAGGTTCAAAGCGAATTCAAAACGAATAGGAATTTTGGTCATATAATTTCAAATCAAATTCGAATAGTATATATCGCATAATATAAAGAAATATGGATGTCATGACCTGATGAGCCTGTGCAAAATTTTTTAGAAATTAACTCAAGGCCTGTGCAAATGCCTTTTTTTTTTTGTTCAAAGAAAGTGGGAAAAACTTTGAGTGACATTCGGTAGAAGGCAAGTGGTAACCTGTGAAATATGTTATGTTTTAAAATGTACTTTCATCATCATCATCATCGTCATCATCAGCCTGACTACATTCACTGCAGGACAAAGGCTTCTCCCATGTTCCGCCAGTTAACTCAGTCCTGTGCTTGCTGCTGTCAATGTATGCCCGCAAACTCCTTAATCTCATCTGCCCACCTAACCTTCTGTCTCCCTCTAACCCGCTCGCCTTCTCTGGGAATCCAGTCAGTTACCCTCAATGACCAGCGGTTATCCTGTCTACGCGCTACATGGCTGGCCCATGTCCATTTCTTCTTCTTGATTTCAACTATGATAACCTTAACCCCCAGTTTGTTACCTAATCTACTCTGCTCTCTTCTTGTCTCTCAAGGTTACACCTACCATTTTTCTTTTCATTGCTCGCTGCGTCGTCCTCAATTTAAGCTGAACCCTTTTTGTAAGTCTCCAGATTTCTGCTCTGTAGCTAATTACTGGCAAGATACAGCTGTTATATACCTTCCTCTTGAGGAATAGTGGCAATCTACCTGTCATGATTTGAGAGTGCTTGCCAAATGTGCTCCACTCCATTCTTATTCTTCTAGTTACTTCAATGTTGTGGTTTGTCTCCGTGGTTATTACCTGCCCTAAGTTAGGCATCGTCTTTTACAACTTAAAGTGCACTTCTACCTATCTCAAAGCACTGCTCTTTTCCGAGGTTGTTGTACATTACTCTCATTTTTTGTAGATTAATCTTAAGACCCACCTTTCTGCTCTCCTTGTCTAACTCTGTAATGATGAGTTGCAATTTGTCCCCTGAGTTACTCAGCAATGCAATGTCATCGGCGAAGCGCAGGTTACTAAGGTACTCTTCAATAACTCTTGCCCCTAACTGTTCCCATTCTATGATTCTGAAAACCTCCTGTAAGCACGCAGTAAATAGCATTGGGGAGATTGTATCCTCCGGCCTTACACCCTTCTTAATTTGGTATTCTGTTATTTTTTTATGAAGCACTATGGTAGCAGTTGATCCTCTGTAGATTTCTTTCAGGATGTTTATATATGCTTCATCGACGCCCTGATTTCACAGTGTCTGCATGACTGCTGATATTTCGACTGAATCAAACACCTTCTCGTAATCAATTAAGGTTATGTATAGTGGTTGGCAGTATTCTGAGCATTTCTCTATTACCTAATTGATAGTATGAATGCGGTCGATTGTTGAGTAGCCTGTTCGAAATCCTACTTGTTCCTTTGGTTGGTTGAATTCTAACGTTTTCTTAACTCTGTTAGCAATTACCTTTGTAAATAGCTTGTACACTACGGAGAGCAAGCTGATCGGCCTGTAATTCTTCAAGTCCTTGTCATCTTTTTTCTTAAGTATCAAGATGATGTTAGAATTCTTCCAAGACTCTGGTACTCTTCCCATCAGGAGACACCTCGTAAACAGGGTGGCTAGTTTTTCTAACACAATCTGTCCTTTTAGCAGATCTGATGTTACCTGATGCTCACCAGCAGCTTTGCCTTTTTGCATGCTCTCCAAGGCTTTTCTGACTATTTCTATCATTACTGGTGGGGTGTCATCTGGATTACTGCTAGTTCTTATAGTAATTAGGTCGTGGTTGTCCCGGCTACTGATATACCAAGCTGATAAGCTGATATGCCAAGCTCTTTAAAAAATGATGAATCGATTTGTGATGATATGTTGAAGTGAGACATCGTAGATTTTTTTTTTTATTAGGTGTTTTCATGGCTTGGCAGTTCTTGCACTAGTAAAAGCACCTTAGAGGGACTACATGCGGACTTGTATACATCTATTTGTTCATTTCAATCTTCGGAATTTCCACTAATTTAAGTTAGATTCGAAGCAAATTTGAATAGTGCGATGTTTGTTCGAATATTTGAAGCATTTGAATATTCATACAAGCCTACACTATTTGCTTTAAACATAAAGTTTACAACTCGCACATGTCCACTGTTATATTTAAATTCAATGCGACTTATCTGCTAGTCTTATCTGCCCTTTTGTAATATCCTCCCATTGAGTTATGCTTTCAGTGTAACAGAACAAAACTGAAATGCTGCAGGCGCTGATGCTAGAGAGGTCGCGGGTGTCTCGAAGGCCCGAAGGCGAGCCAAACTTCCACATCTTCTACTACCTTTTGGCTGGGGCAGGAGAAGCACTCAGGTGAGAAGCCTTTGGTGCAATCTCACAATTGCTTAAAGCGAGGACTCAACTTGAATAATGGATGTCTGAAGAATAGTCCGAAGTGTCTTGGTGTATATAGTGCAGGAAGGTGATGTGGAGTCCATACATTCAGCAAATATAGTCAATTGGTCTTTCTTCAGGTGATACTAATAACTAACAAATGAATATTTGAATGAAGTGTGTACAGTGCAAACTCGAGACGGAGATACAAAAGAAGAGACACAGGCAAGCGCTGATTAGCAGCCATTTCTCTATATTTTGCTTTTGTGTTAATAAATATTCAGTTTCTAATCAGCGCTTGTCTGTGCCTCTTCTTTTGTATCTCCGTCTTGAGTTCGCACTGTAGTACTTCATTATGCAATACCAACTAGCCCAAAGTATCACTTTACTAAAAATATCTGAACTGAGGTTTGGCCAATGACCTCTCATCAAGCATTTTCAGAAGGGGTGTTGTGCTTGTTTAAATAAAACCAGCCATTATGTAGCTGATGCTGTAGTGCTGATTGCATGCAGTCTTGAAAAATGCATAGCAAAATTAGCATGAGATGTATTGCTGGAACTGCAAATAGCAAATAATTTAGTTAGAAGACTGTAGTTTGAATACAATCGTTCGCTTCTGTAAAGTGTAAGTGAGAACGAGCAAACTTGATTACATTCACTTGGGAATGCCTTTCTGCAGTCCGCTTGATGAAGTGTTGGTTGCGGTGGCACCCCACGTTCATGAAGTTTTCAACTCTTTAAGCTTCCATCTTGCTCTAAACTTCTGGCTTTTTTCGTACTTCTATAAGAGCAGTTGTTCATGCAGGGAGTTATTTTTTTTTGTACCCTAGCTAAGCCATCAAGCTATTTTGTACAGTTACATTGTTAAGGGGGCACACTGGTCTTAGAAAATTTTTTTTTGCTTTCCAACCAATTTTAATGAAACTCCATGGGCTTGTTCAGTTTTTTAGCTGATTTTAAATATCAAATTAGTTTTGATGTAAGCTAATTAGTTCCCGAGATAATTAAAAATCTTTCGTGATTGTTCTTGAGAACAATAGAAAAAAAAACTAGTCAACAAAAAATTACCAGCATGGCATGAATAGATACTAGAAGTTGTGGAGAATGAAATGACGGAAGCAGTTTTTTTGTCTGGCAATCACACACGCAAGTTTACATCAATTCTAATTTCTCGGTTTAAAGTATGCGTGCTAACCAGTTATAAACAATGCTAATTAAACAATTATTTAAACGTGAAATGCAAAATCTGTTTCCCTTGCTTCAAGGTTTAAACATTCAGCTTGACAATGCAAAAGAAATTACCTTTCTAGCTGCACCGCATGCCGAGATGTACCTCTCAAGAATTTCCTAAACGTCAAAAATATGCATTTTGAGAAAATGTCAAAAAACACAACGGTGCCATGTTTAATGTAAACGGTAAAACATTCTGTACATTTTTGGAGCGAAATGACTAGTAGGCCCCAGAAGCATAGTCCCCTTGACTGCTGGCATCCAGGTGCCGCTTCTGGAGCGTCCGCTGCACATTTTCTGCAGACACACGCCTGAGGGTAGAGTCCCTGGTTCGGCGGCGGTCTTTTTCAGCCATGCGTTTGCTACTCAGTAGGCCGGGGTTCAAGCACAGCTCTTTGAGGATCTTGGATGATGTTACTTGACTTCCGGCATTAAACCTCATCACTGTCTCGGCGACCGCAGCTTCTACACTGTGCAGTGATGCATGGCGCTCTTTCGGGGCCAGCGACCAAATCACAGAGTGGAGACTTTCATTACTGTTCTGAGTCTTGCCTCGCTGGCAGCGCTCCAGCAGCTTCTTGTCCGCCAAGCGTTCGTACACTGGAAGCAAGGCCTCACAGACATGCGGCGGCAGGTTGTAGCAGTGTTTGGGGGCCGGCTCACCCCTGGCCTTGGCAGCGTTCTGGCGGCACCACGAGTCAGGACCTGTAGGGCACAGGCTGTGGTTGGACACGGCATCGTTGGACGTCACATGGTGGTATGTGGCCATCACAGCATTGTGCATGGCTGGCACGTCCCCTTTGTGAGATTTGATGGCCCAGCCATAGTAAGAGGTCAATTTGTTAACCAGGTCACCAGTCAGCCGCCCCCTACCACTGAGGCTCTCAGAGCCAGCTGGCCTCTGCTTGGGGAGATTGCGCAGTTGCGTGCCCATCCTCTTCTGGACGTGGTTCACACATTCCTCTTTGGTTACCTTTATAAAACCATACACATCTGCTTCCTTCAAAGCAGGGTAGGTGCGGCAGTCGCCATCAGAAAGAACTATAGTGTATCTCAGCTTATGACGCTCCCACGACCTCTGAAACAGAATGAGGGCAGCTTCCACTTCCATCTCTCCAGCTTTTTTTGTGCTGTTTTTCTGGCAGTGGTGGTTCGCTTTCCACTCGTCGTAGGACGGGTCACTTTCTTTAGGCGCCCGCTCGCAGCCGGCACAAAAATTGCAGAGCGCGACATAATCGAGCACAAGCCCCGTAAACAACTCGATAACTGTGCCGACTCCGATGTGCGACGAGTGTCCCCTCGTCATCCAGGAACCGTCGTACGACACAGCGATGTTGTCCGAATTGACGAGGTCCAGTTCCGCGTACAGTTCCCGAACCGATCGCGCGCACTCCGCGGTCAGCTTTTCCGACGCACGAACAGCTGCGGGCGTCAGTTTTGTCTTCACGTAGCTCTGCCACGTTTTGTTGTGCAGGCCGCGCGAAGAAATGTTCATCGATGAAAAAACGTCGTTGAATGCCGTTTGCTGATTGCCAGTAGACTGCATAGCGTGCGCGCCCAGAACATTGATGGCAAACGGCTTTGCCTTGCTCTCGCCGTCAACGCGCGGCGAGCTCCTTGCCACCGACACATCGCCGCAGGTCGCGCACGTAAGCACTAGCTTTACGGCAAGGCCGTACTCCCTGTCCTCTTTGCCGATGTTTACATCACCGGAGCACAATTTGCACTTCACTGCACGCATCAGTTCGTTCACCTGGTCCAAACTCACGATCAAAAACCGTGTTTCGTCCAGCGGCGTGGCTGCGGCATCGTCGATATCGGCTTACAGGCCACACTTGCGTTGTGTTGCTCCAGTTGAAGCGAGCTCTTGCAGCTTGTTTTCGGCGTTGCGACGCACCTCTGCCACTTCTAACGGGTGCAGCACTGCTGTGTCGAGACGAACGCGGCCGCTGCCGGATGCGTTATCTTGAGCGGGCGGCGGCGGAGGTGCTAGGCCTATGTTATCAGGGGCCTCGCCGCTGGCCACGGAAGGTGGGTCGCTTGCTCGTTCAGTGCTCCTCGCTGACGCGGAACGGCCTTTGAAGTTCTCGAGGAGCGACTTCTTTCTTTTTTTGCCGTACTGATTCCTTGTGTGGAATTTCCTTCCGGCTTTCCACATCGCGCGCGATCCTTGGCTAATCCGTCGTTCTCAGTCCGAGCAATATGGCGCCTGACTGCGCCGCCGACGGCGCGAAGCAGACGACACACGCCGCTTGCGGCCAATCGCGTTGCGCTGTTTAGTCACGTGCGCTCGCCGGCAAATAGGAACGCGTATTTTTGCTTTTTTTGGCGCGTGTTTTCTACTCTACCCATGAGCGGACAGGAGCCAGAGTGGCGGGAAATTGAAGACCGAAGACCGCGCTTTCAAATGAGACCTAGATCACTGCGATACTGCCCGTGGCGCAGCTGCGGGGAATCATTGAAAGATTGCGATTTTGTCCTCAGAATCTCGCCAAATCGGGCCTGTACGGCTTTTATAAGTAGCTGTTACTGTTCAAGTACCAACTTTTCGGAGGAAAAACTGAGCAAACCAATAGAAAAATACCTGTAGATTTCAAAAATGACATTTAAAAAAAAATGCGTTTTTGGGCAATTTTTCGGCCCTAAAGACCTGTGTGCCTCCTTAAATGTAGTGGAAATTCAGCAAAAGTACAAACAGAAATATATTGCAATGACTTGCTCCTCCTTGAAGTTAATGAAAAGATTGCTTTCCTTTGATCATATTCAAATCCTCACACATTTTGCAGCAGATTGTCATTGCTTGTGATAATACAAGGCCTGCCGACATGACACTCAGTGTCGAAAAAGAAAAAAATCTGTAAAACACGAAGCAAAAAAAGTTATATTACAAAGACCATTTCATTTGCTTGTTTCTCTTTTACAAAGAATTGTCATGGCTGCTTTTCATTGTATGGTTGCATGCAGGAAGGAGCTGTACTTAGACAATCTTGAGGAGCCCAACATCTTTGTCAGCCCACTCAAGAAGGTGTGTTTCCACGTCATTTGTCTCGCTAAATTTTCAGTGCTGGTGACTTTTGCAGTTGTAGGCCTTTTAGAGAGCTTTTCTGCCATTTGACAAAGCTGACACCATGGCCAAGTGTTTGTGCTGGCATGAAAGCTGTGTGGACGAATGAATGTGTGAATGAATAGATGAATGCAGCTTCTGCACGCTGGGTGTCCCAAATCATCTGTGCTTGTCTCCTTGTGCCATCTCTCCTACGGTGTGTTTTTGCCCTCCTCAGCCAGATGACCAGAAGAAGGTTTTGCAGTTGTAGGCCTTTTAGAGAGCTTTTCTGCCATTTGACAGAGCTGACACCATGGCCAAGTGTTTGTGCTGGCATGAAAGCTGTGTGGACGAATGAATGTGTATGAATGCAACTTCTGCACGCTGGGTGTCCCAAATCATCTGTGCTTGTCTCTTTGTGCCATCTCTCCTACGGTGTGTTTTTTGCCCTCCTCAGCCAGATGACCAGAAGAAGGTTTTGCAGTTGTAGGCCTTTTAGAGAGCTTTTCTGCCATTTGATAGAGCTGACACCATGGCCAAGTGTTTGTGCTGGCATGAAAGCTGTGTGGACGAATGAATGTGTGAATGAATAGATGAATGCAGCTTCTGCACGCTGGGTGTCCCAAATCATCTGTGCTTGTCTCCTTGTGCCATCTCTCCTATGGTGTGTTTTTGCCCTCCTCAGCCAGATGACCAGAAGAAGGCACGCATCATGTGGGAGCTGGTCCAGGGTTCCCTACTGACTCTCGGTGTGCGGGACACCGAGAGCCGCGTCCTGTGGACAGTGCTGGCCGCCATCGTCCATCTGGGACACGCAGGAGCCTTGCGCAGTGAGTAGAGGCTCTGCTGGTATTTTAGGCAGGTTTGCTGTGCAAGGGCGCGACGGACACGCATTTTTAAAACCATAAGTGCTAGTTCAGCCTCGCTACAGCTACCTCATATGTGTCACAAAGGTAACTTCATTGTATGTAATTGTACATAATTGCTCGTTATTTCGTATATGTTATTTTCATGGCAAATAAAACTCACTTATAACGAAGCCAAAAATATCCAAGAAAACTGAGAATAGTAAAATCGCACATTTCCCAAAGACTGTTCACAACTTTAACTGAGTAATCACAAAAAATATGTGAGTAATAATATTGCTGAATAAAATTTCCTTGTATTCAAGCTGGACAAATGAGGGTCTGCAGACAAGGGCTTTCATGATTCCCTGCAAAGAAAACTTGAGGCAGTGTGAAGTTGGGGCCTGTCACACTTTTAAAGACAGAAATGGAACAACCTGAACTCTACTGTCACAAACAGCCCAACATTGTCTATATATATGTCTATTAAATGTGAATGATAGCTTTAAAGGGACATTCTAGAAAAACGACTTCTTTTAGATTGACGAATCGCGCTGCAAGAACACTAATGCCACATGTTTCACTGTCATAAGTTCAATATTAGCAGAAGAAAGTCCAGGTTGAAGTCTGATTTTTAAGCTTTAAGCATGCCGAAATCTTTGCACTTGAGGTAGAATATTTCAAAATGTTTTTTTTTTTCTTTGTGATTTTGCGTCATTGGTCTTGATGAAAGTGTCGGGAACTTTGTACACTAGGTTTTTGGTGCCCACACTTCATTTTTGCCTTATTAGAGGCTGCATAGGACCCAGTAGGCACCTTTAAAATCTGACGTCGCGATGTTCAGTGCAGGACTCAAGTTGGTGTCTTCACCCGCATTTTCTTTTTGTGTGTTTTCTTGCTTACCACACGTCATCTCGTCATAAGAGGGGTGTTTTGGGGGTTGTGGAATTGTACTTTATTAATATGCAAAAATCGTTTTTCTCTTTAGTGTTTCTTTAACAGTTACGACATGCTGGCACTAGTGTTGAGTACACCTTGTTTTTGTCATTATTTTTCATTATATTTTGCACAACACTCTAGTTTGAAATGCTGATACATTAAATGCACATTATTGATGAGAACTAAGAGACAATGATGCCAAGGAAAGCATGGGGGACATTGTTAAGAGTAATTGTAATGTAAATGGGAGCGAAAAAAAAGTGGATAGAAAGATGACTTGCTGCCAAGAGGAACCATGCCAGCAATTTTCAAGTAGCACACCCGATGATCTACCAACTGCACTATGGTGTTCATCCATCCGTCCACTATATACAGGTGCACTCAAATGTGGCAGCGTCAGTCAGCACGGCCAGTGCGATTGCAGCGAGGGTTGAACACTTTTTTTTCTTGCCTGTTGACATCACATAGCACATGATCTATGAAGTCCTAGCGGCAGACCAATAATTCCTCGCATACAACCAGAAGGCATCAAGTCTGCCAGAGCGAGTCCCTCGCTATGAATGAAAGAAAGAGGTGGAAATGAAGGGCTCATTTTTTTGTTATAAAATAAGCCCTTAAATTCATACTTCTTTTTTTCTGAAGTGTACATTATAGTTTGTTACCACTTGTGTAATGTCAAGTTTAATATTTTGTATTATTCTGTCTACCGTGTTGTTCACCCCTGCTAATTTTTAACATTTTTGACTTAGCTTTCATTTATTTGTAACTTGATTGCAACATATTACTCTTGTTGTTTCAGATTTAGTCTTCATATTTTTGCCCGTGCTGAAATCCTATCTGTTATGCATAATATATTTTGTGCTGCTAGGCTGTAAGGTAACAAAGTTGTGTATGTGCACTTGTTATAATATTTGATTGGATCAACAGTATACATAAGCAGTTTATTCACAGCCTGCTCTTCCTTCACAGGGTTAGACACAACAGAAACAGAGTTATTCAATCACACCAGTTGCGAAATTCCCCATAGGCCCCATGTATCGTATATATGAACTCTCCATTGTGCTAAAATTGTGGGTGTGTGAAGCTGGTCACATCATCGATTAACCAAAAAACAAACTAATAAATGCTTGTGATGATGCCAACGTTGCATGTGGCATTGAGCAGCCTGCAGAAAGAAAGCACATGCAGGGCGCTGGCACGGCGACTGAGTGTTTTGCCGTGCTGCTTCTAGATGGCAGAAAAATCTGCAGGCTCTTGAAGAATTTGGCTAGGGTCTTGTTCGAATCTCGGAATGCAGTTTCACAACGGGCACAATTGAAGTCTGATCAGAAGCAGCTTCCTTGCAGACCATGCTTTTAAACATGCAGCTTTTTTTCTATTCTGCAGGTGCGAATGGGCGTCCACAGTTTGCACGAGCGGCTAGCGCACAGCGAGCTTCCCTTCTGCTGGGCACGTCTGTCGAGGACCTTGCCAAGTCTGCCCTTGACTCGCCGCTCCTGACGGTCGCAGGCAACAGCCGGGGGCCTGCACGGTATGTGTACAGTGTGGCGATCCCAGGGCTTGTTTGTTGGTGTGAAGGTGTGTCATGGAATGGGTACAGCTGGCTAGTTAGTCATATAGGGCATTCAAGTTTCAAAACATTAAGGGAGACATTTCGAAACTCGGAACAGTAATGCTGTGGGGCGAAAGCAAAAAAGCCATTAAGGCTTGACAGAAGCTTCCGCACCATTGGTATTAAACCAAAAATATTAAACTCAAATCCCACTCAAATGATACTGTTCAGTCGAGGCGTGCATCGTACGGCGTCTTTCGTTCTACTTTCTACTTTCTTTTTTTACGCGGGGATGTGGAACTAAACCCGGGGCTGGCAGTTGACTCGAAATTGCAACAACTTCTAGATGGTCAAAGTACTATTAAAGAGAAACTTAGTGCTATCGAGGTCGCGCAGGCGGGAAATCGAGTAGCAATAGGTGAGCTTGGTGGTCGTATCGCTACGTTAGAAACTAAACTGTCGAACATTGATCACGTGAACGGTGCAATATTAGACTGCGTTAAAATGCAGGAAAACCAAAAGAAAAAAATAGTCACTGACACGAAAAGTGAATGAGTTAGAGAACCGTAGTCGACACCATAACCTCGTCTTTTATGGTGTAAAAGGTACCGAAGCTAACGAAACAAGTAAAGAATCGAAGAAGCACATAATCCAGATATGTAGCTCCAAGTTGGCTATCCATTCTATAACTATAGAATGTGCGCACCGACTCGGGAAATTCCAAGTCGGTAGAAATAGACCGTTAATAGCCAAGTTGCTGCATTTTAAGGAAAAGCAAGACGTTCTTCATAACGTTAGTAAACTAAAAGGCTAGACAAGTTACTGTCCCTGAAGATTTTTCTCAGCAGGTACATCAGAAAAGAAAAATACTGTGGGATTACGCAAAAACACACAAAAAGGAAGGTGAAAAGGTCATACTGAAATATGACACACTGATACTGAATGGTAAAAAATATGGTTACGACACAGAGAAAGAGCAAGTTCTAGCACTGCAATGACCTTGTCAATCTAGAGGAGTGAACCTTTCCTTCTTGGTAATTAACTGCAGAAGCATTAAGAACAGTGGATGAATTTTGTGCATTTCTTCGGATGTCCGAACAGTCTGTGGTGCTTGGAACTGAATCTTGGTTAAATGATGAAATACATGATGACGAGGTGTTTCCGGTGGACTATACATGCTACCGTAAAGATAGGAATGGTCATGGTGGTGGTGTATTTATTTTAGCTAAATGTGACATAGTGTCTTCTAACCTTGACGTTGGCATTGGAACATGTGAAGCTGTCTGGTGTCAACTCGAGCTGGCTAATAAGAGGCTAGTAACTGTGTGTAGTTGTTATCGTGCACCTGATTCTCCCATAGACGTGATGTCACAGCTTGCAAGTACCATTGATGAGATGCATTCGGACTTCATGATTATCGGGGGAGGGGGGGATTTTAACTTGCTACACATTCACTAGCATGAGCACTCAACCACGATATCGGCATCTGGGGCATCTGCTCCAGAGATGATTAATATCGTGAATCTGCATGCACTACACTAAATGGTACTACAGCCCACACGGGAAAATAGTATCCTTAATTTAATTTTTACGAACCAACCCAATTTGGTAACTGCTACTTACGTCCTGCCCGGGATTAGTGATCACGATGCCGTGCTATGTGAAATGAATGTACATTACGTTAAAACATCAGTGTGCGACCAAGGACGCGTATACAATTATTCTAAAGCTAATGTTGAAAAAGTAAATGAGTCTCTGGATAATTACTTTGTTGTATTCGAGACTCTTGCGAAACGACTCCACTTCAGTGAGTTGTGGATTCTCTTGAAAAACAAAACGACTGAATTACGTGATGTGTTCGTTCCATGGTGGCACTTAACGGCTAGGAAAGCGAAAAGTAAGCCGTAGTTCACGAAAGAACTGCGCAGACTTACACAAAAACGGTTGAGATGTTATCGAACATTTTGTGATACCCCGACCGATATCAATAAGTTACGACTGAAAAATGTAACAGTTGAAGTTAAGACGTGCACCTTTAAAGCAAAAGGGGATTACACTGAATCTTTGCAATTCCTTCTCAAAGATAAACCAAAAGAGTTCTGGGAACATGTCAAAAGAAATGGTAAAGACAATGTGTCGATACCAACGCTTATTTCTGGTGATGACGTCTTCCATGACGACATTGATAAAGCTGAATACCTCAATCGTTATTTCAGTTCTGTTTTTATGTCGCTGATAGCATTCGGAGATGGTGATCACCACTTAAATCAAATACGAACTGATAGTATGGAGGATATTTACATCAGCACGCACGGCATTCAAGTGCTCTTGCAAAGATTAGACAGCTCAAAAGGATGCGGTCCAGATGGCCTCACAAACGCGTTTCTTAAGATTTGTGCGCCAACACTAGCGCAGTTTTTAAAGGTACTATTTGATAAATCACTTCTAGATGCCAGCCTTCCTTCAGATTGGAAAAAGCAACTGATTGTCCCAATACATAAGTCTGGTCCACGGAGTGACGTCTCTAATTACCGACCAATATGGCTGACTAGTGTGGCATGTGAAATTCATGAGCACCCAATATATACCTCCATTGTTGAACACATGAATACGTATTCACTATTTACGCCACAGGCAACACGGGTTTTGAAGAGGTTTTTCTTCTACTACCCAATTGACAGAATTTATGCACAATATAGCATAGCATTAGACAAAAGAAAAACAATTGACTGCATTTTTTTAGACTTCAAGAAGGCATCTGATACTGTCCCACACCGTTTACTTCTTGAGAAAGTGACTATGTATGGCATTAATTCACAGGTCGTCGCATGGGTCGCTGATTATTTGACATTACGCCAGCTGACTGTAATCGTTAATGGTGCCAGTTCGTGCACATCGCAGGTAACATCGGGCGTCCCCCAAGGATCGGTACTGGGACCACTTTTATTTCTGATTTACGTCAACGACATAACTGAGGGCGTATAATCCCACATTCGGTTGTTCGCAGATGACTGTGTTTTGTATAGGGAAATTACAGATTCGCCGGACAAAGCGTTTATTCACAGAGACTTGGTCCAAAATCAGTGATTGGTGTACACGATGGCACATGCAGTTGAACTTGAATAAGACATTTTACATTCATTTTACTCGTAAGAAATTAGTCTCAGACATTCGTACACAATTAACAATGTCATTAAAGTAAGGTTAATGAATACAAATATTTAGGAGTGTACCTATCGTCTAACTTAAATTGGCAGCGACATGTTGACTATGTAACAGGCAAGGCCGGGAAAGTGCTTGGGTTCCTTCACCGTAACGCGAAGAACTTTAATATGTCGACTAAGGAATTGCTTTATAAAACACAGGTGCGTTCCGTTCTTGACGTTACGAGTGTGTCGTTTGGGACCCTTCAACAGTATGCGACACAGAAAACTTGAAAGGGTGCAGAACTTGGCCACTTGATTTGTTTGTGGAGTCCTACGCTCGCGAGAGAATTATTGCAATGGGATACACTAGATTGTCAAAGACGCAGACTTTGCTTAGTTTTTCCACAACATCTTTCATTCAAAAGCTGGCATTGATAGGCATCTTTACATAAAGACACCTAATTACTATTCCCATAGCGTTGACCATAAGAATGAGGTTATCGAATTTTCCTGCAGAACACATTCCTTTAGCAAGTCTTTTTTTCCTAGAACAATACGGGACTGGAATCAATTAGATAAGTCTGTCGCAACTATATCGTCCAATGACATATTTTTTCACTGCTAAAATAATTCTTCTTGTATTGGAGTTGCTATTCACTCATGTTACTGCTAGTGATGACTGCTATATGCTTGTAATTGTATTTTCCTTTATTGTGCATTCTTGTTCATGTAATTATGCTTTTATCACTATAATACACTTCATTGTTAAATTAATTAATGTATTCTTGTTTACTTGCAATCTTGTTTTTTTATTTTTGTGCAATGATTCACTATGGTGCACATTAGTGTACACTCGTGATCTTTGTATATGTATTTGTTTTCCTGATGCTGCTAGCGATTGTTATCAACTGTATGCTAAGAATTTTTCTTTGCTTTTTCGCCCCCACTCTAATGCCACGTGGCGCTGTAGGTATGGCATAAATAAATAAATAAATAAATAAATAAATAAATAAATAAATAAATAAATAAATAAATAAATAAATAAATAAATAAATAAATAAATAAATAAATAAATAAATAAATAAATAAATAAATAAATAAATAAATAAATAAATAAATAAATAAATAAATAAATATATAAATAAATAAATAAATAAATAAATAAATAAATAAATAAATAAATAAAAACAAACATTACGTTTGAATAGACCAGTAGGAATGCTTTAATGCAATCAACTATTTAATGTTAGTGGCAGTAAGTAGCACATCATTTGTTGACCATAGTTGGTATGTGTATAAGGGATCTTCTACTCTCCAGTGGCTCGTGTGCTATAGGGGCAGGTGTAGGCTTTCAAGCGTGCTAAATCAGCAAGAATCGTGCTTCTTTGGAGAAGTAAGATATTGCTTCATTAGAACAGAATTGTACATGTTGGGTATTCGTTGTAAATTAGGGGCTTAAAAAATCGGTCTGGTATGCTCGTGTGAAACACCTGCAATTATGCACACAGCTTTTTTCTGTAATTTATATATTCGGCCTAAGTTCTAATACAAAGCCAAGGTTTTACGACCTGCACTCTTGCCTCAATTCTTACCTCTTGGAGCTGCACATTGCCTCTTCTAATGAGCATTGATTGTTGATCATGATGACTTAGCACTACATTTTGCAGTCTTGAAAGATCTGTAAGCCTTGGTGAGTGCCTTTTTTTTTTGAGACCAAGAGATGCATCCGCAATGCTTCGCCTGATTTTCTGCATTACAGAATGCTCAGAGATAGGAAGGGTACAGGGACACTGGCCTGAGGATTGCTTATGTAACATGTTTCACATGCCGTTGTGACACACAAACTTGGGGGCCTTCTTAAACTGCGTAATGAACATGCTGTGTATGTGTTTCTGTTCACATGCCAGTGTCTGCAGGTTTTTTTATTTTGTTGCCACTGTAATAGTTTCTCAGTGCTTAATTAAGCGAGCAGACCAAGTTCATTAATTTTTAGCCTTGTTGACTTTACTATTTTTTATAATGGGGTCGTGTAGACTTCTAGAGAATGTGAAATTGAAGAAATTGTTATCATCATCACTAGCATTTATCTCAAAACAGTGTACGTCCTCGTAATTAGCAGAAATACTATTCATCTTTTTTTTATTTTCATATTACTGTTTGCGATGCACAGGATTCTCAAAAACATTAACGCTGTAACAGTTGTGGATTTCAATGACCAACTCTCACATGAAAATGGGATATGAATTGTTCCTTGGAAGGTCACTTTGCAGCCTGGTTAGAATGCGGAAACTGCTGCTGAGGCTTTGAATTGCCTATTCCAAGATGGGAACATGTTTTTCAGCTGAAATAAAAACCACTCAAAGTGGGTAATATTATTTCCAGCATGAATATACTAAAAATGGATTTCTAGCTGGAAGCTTTTCAGTTTCAGTGGCAATGTCATATTTCCAGCTGGAAATGTTTCAATTGGGCTATAATATATTTAGCTGCTGTCATATAGGTAGTGAAATCTTTACGAGGTATTATTAGACCAAACTTGTGCGCCATTTCATTTAGAATGGCAGGTCACTACAGCATTCCTAATCCAGTTAGTGTGTAAACAATATCTCTTTGTCGAGGTCATTTTATTGTACAGATACTAAACTGACCGTGCTGATTTCTTCTTTTTTTTTTTTATAAGAAGGAATAGTTTTGGGATACACTCAAGCCACATTATAATGAAGTTGCATGAAAATAATTTCATTATACTTAGAAATTTGTTATAAAAACATGTATTCCTAACATTGTATCTATTGCAAAACTATTCATTTACTTTATTACAACTGATATTTTGTAATAGCCGCATTCGTTGTATAGAAATTTGGGTGTGTATATGTTGTTTATAAAACATTCTGGATGAACACTGCAATGATCACAAGACTTGCTAATGCAGCTGCTGTTTTCATATGTCTTTACATATATTGTGAATTGTGGCAGATGTGTTTTTTGTGTGCATGGATGCTGAGATGATGTTGGAAAATTATTACTAGATACCTGCAATTCGTTTCCTCTGCATGGTATTCATGCATTTTAACAGGATTAGTGATAATGATGATTGTTCATGCAACTGCAATGTTGTACACAGGGGAGACGGAGCTGGAGATCCCGTGGAGCCTCTGCAAGACTTTGTGGCCTCCCTGTACCAAGAAGTGTTCAACGTGGTGGTGTCTCTCGTTAACCGGTGAGTACAAAAGTAGCACAATCATTCGGAGGCCTTGTTTTCTTTATTTTAAATAGACCTATGTGAATAGCAAAATTCTGGGTCCGAAGCAAACATGATTGAAGTGTGAGTGCAAATAAAATCAAACATTTTTTTGAATATTTTTCAAATATTTTTTCAATAGTTCAATGCAAAATTGTGGAGAAAACAAGTTGGAGAATATTCTTATTAGATATTGCCATGTAGCCAAGGACGAGGCAGGGCTCATAAAACAAGGCTTTACGGAGCGAGCTTGGGCTCCATAACATTGCAAAAGAAAACAGCGAGACAGCAGCAAACAACATGACGTGCACAGTTGAGTTGAGCGTCGGTAGAAAAACAATACAGTTGCGGCGTTACTCTATCCGCAATCATTGGGTTACTCTGATAACCATAGTCTGGTGGGGACAGGGCGAAACACAGTCCCTATCAAAATAAGATAGCTAGTGTGGAATACAAGAGAAAGGAAAAAAACTTGCATTTTGCTTCAAAGACAGGAGAATTGGGCTGAGCCATACTTTGGCCACAAAACAGCTTAAATAAGCTTTGAGAAACATTCATCGTGGCAATATAGCCACATGAATGTTTCTTTTTGCTAGGTTGATGAGGTGCTGGCAGGGTGGTATTTCATAGTTGTCTTCTCGAGGATAAGGCAGAGGTTAAATTGTATTACTGTCGAACCCCGCTACAATGAAACTGAAGGGGCGCGGAAAAAATTTCGTTAGAGCGAACATTTCGTTGTAGTGAAATCGAAAAAATATAGCTGATCTGAACTAGTTAAACAAAGGAACATTTATTCGCAAAATTCAAAAAGCGTCCGCTGCTTTTTATTTTATCCCAGCAGCGTCACGACGCGATTCTCACCTATGCATAGCGAGGCCGTGGTGAAAAGCACGCTGAGACAATGAATACAACCGTTTTCGTGAACGAACCAAACAGTTGCATTAAACACGTTAACACCAGCGGCTGTTTGTCGTCAATACGCCGAGATGGCAGCAGGGTATCGTGAAGCGGTGACTTTTGCCTTAATTTATCCCATTTATATCATCCATTACTCGCGGCTAGCTGATTTTGTTGATAATGCGGACGAACAGCCGCTCTCATTAGTTACTACATTGGCCAAGCACGAACAAAATGATAAGCATCGGAATCGGAAAAGGCATTGTTTCACATATGCACCCAGCAGCTGCGCGAAGAAAACCAAGAACTAAGCAACTGAGCTTCAGCATCAGATCTTCTGCGGCTACACAGTAAACCCAAATTTTAACATTTTGATGCATTCTCAGAAACTGAAGATATGTCGACGAAGTCTAAAACACGTGTTGACACCACCAGAAACCACCGCTGTTCAGCAAGCATGGGCGCCGCCATTGCTCAATAGTGATGGCAATGAGACTGCCCTCTTTTTGGCAAAGCAGGGAAATTTCGTTAGAAGCAGGATGGCAGAAGAAAAAGTGTTCGTTGTGGGGACAATATTTATGCATTGACTTCTATGGACTGCAGACGGGGAACCATGAATTTTTCGTTGTAGCTAGAATTTCGTTGAAGCGGCGTTCGTTGTAGCGGGGTTCAACTGTAATCATTGATTTGGTGGAACGAAAGTGTTGCCAACAACACTTTACACGTGAAAGGCAAAGATGCTATTTCCTGAGCTTCTCTTCTTTAGCCTCCTTGGGGAAGTGCAACTGATGTGGCAGACAAAGTTGTACTCTCTTCGAGTTAGGAGTTCCAAATCTGCATTGTAGACGTCACTACATGGAAACATTTAAAATTTTGGATGCTAAAAATCTTCGGCCTCCGATATTTCGGACTTTCTGCTCGAATATCAGGTCCAAAACAGCATTGATCTCTCACTTCTGCCACATCTACCATCTCCATGTAGGAACCACCGTTTTTTTAAGCCAATACATTTGCGACTGTAGCGGAACCTCAAAGGCAGCTGTCTCGTTGTACGGAGGTGTGATGAGGTGAAGCAGTGGGGAAAAAAATAAGGGGTCCTATTTATTCGCGCAACTCTTTTGAAAAATTTGACCATAGCGGAGTTTGAAAGGCAGCTTTGCCGCATTACAAGAAACTACTGAGGTGAGGCATACTAAAAATTTAAAGGGGTCATTTTCAATTAAACCCTGACTGTATTTGTCATCGCATTGCCCTACCGTAGCGGAACTTTAAAGGCGGCTTTGCCACGGTACGAGGTTTTAACGAGGTGAAGCATATTAAAGGTCTAAAGGGGTCACAGTCATATAAGCGTGGACTTCGTTTGCTTTTAGGAAGGTTGAATAGTAAACATTTCAATGTGAATCGAATTGAATAACTAACACTATTAAAAAAAATATTCTGAATTTCGAATATTTGTGAACCCCTAAATATAAATAAATGAAGCCAATGAAACAAATGACAATAAGCCATCATTTACAATTTTTAAACTCTATGCATGCAATAGTGATTTTCACTTAAAATGAAGGAAAGTAAAGTGGTAAGGAAATTGCCCTCTGCATCTGTGAGATCCGAACCCTCAACCTTCAAATTATGCTCGCCGTGTGGCTTAGGAGTGGCGCTGGCTAGCACTGCCATAAATACCCCTCAAAAAGAAAAAAAAAGAAGTGAAGGGAGCACCCCACATTGTAGCTCAAATGGTCGAGCACCAGATGTGTAATTCGAAAGTTGCGGGTTCGGATTCCGTCGAAATAATGGGTGCCTTGCTGTCCCCTTAAGTATCTTTGAATTTAGGTGAGGCTCATTACAATACAGTTAATAAATCACAAATATTGTCTGCTGTGCTTTTCTTGGATCAATTATCTGTCAGTTTGATTAGTCTATAACCAGTAAGTGTTGCAGTTGATGCCCTCTAGACAGAATCTTCTCTGGTGTACTTCTCGTAATGACCCCACTAATTCCTCGTAATTGCATTCATCATTGCATGCAGTACATAGGAGTTGGTTGACGTAATCTGGCAGCAAATTAATCTTGCTCCTGGACTGCGTCATCTCATCTGCGTGGTTCATCTTGTAGAAGCTGGTAAGGGGTCTAGACATAATTGATTGCATTTAACATTGTCAGCGCCACCAGTTGATTTGCCACCACAGCTAAAGTTCAGAAAACTTTGCTCAAATCGTGGACGTCGTCAGTGCAAGAAACTGCTGCTGCATTACTGTCAGCTGCCAATTTTAAGGACCTGCTTGAAAATTCAGACCCACAGGGAACACCGCCACAAGCAGCATCAAGTTAGCGTACAGCAGCATCCAAAATTTGACACTAAATCTTCTCAGCGTTCAATTTTTAGCACCTCCTGCCCAGATTTCAAGTCTGGAAATGCATTTATTGAAGCCACCACTGCTCCTGTGTCTATCATCTCACAGCTCTAACCAGCACTTTTGGAAATCGATCCATTTGCAGCCTTGGCAAATTTCCAAATCAGCTTTGTTGCAATGTAAAAATGTTATGGGGAGAAACATATTGACAATTTGAAGGGGCAACTGTCACATCATCGCAGCGATGCATTAGTGACAAGCACCGGAAACGAATGGAGCCATGACGGCTGCAGGCATAAATTACGCCAGTACCTTTATGCCAACTAGGAAACAGTAGACATCTCACAAAAAACCAAGAGGGCTAGACAAAGCTGGCATGCTTTCTCCTGCCTCCTTCTTTTTTGTGTTCATTGTTTTCTTGTGGACATCCCAGCCGTGGTGGTCGCATTTCGAGGGAGGCGCAATGGTAGAGGCTCGTCTTCTGTGGGATGTCAGTGCATATTATAAGAACACCAGATGGTCAGAATTTCTGGAGCCCTTCACTCGTCGTCTCTCATAATCATATCGTGGTTTTTGGATGTGAAACTCCAGCTATTGTTTCTTTGCTGATATTCGATCTTCAAGCTTTAGAACAGTGGTGCTGCTGTGATCGCACACGGTCACTGAGAAATTGTTTCCAAATGTGCAGCGCACTCGGTGGCTCTGGCAGGAGTGTGGCGGCAGTGCAGGTTCTGGACTGCCCTGGTTTTCAGCCCCAGAGCGGCACTGGTGCAGGGGGCAGTGCAGCGGCCACCCTCGAAGAGCTCTGCCACAACTACATCCAGGAGCGACTGCAGCTGCTCTTCCACCAGTGGACATTCCTCAACCAGCAGGAGCGATACGATCAGGTACCTTTCCGTGAATGTGTTGCAGAGCAGCTACTGGACCTACTCACATAAAGGCCACACCTATAAATTGGCATCTTGAAATTGCATAAAGGAATCTTATTGAGAGTAAAAATATAGATGTAGGAATTACAAAACCATTTCAAATAGGTCAAATGCACAAACCACATCCAAAAAATTGGGGTCAAAGTTGGACTTATACCAGATCTGAGTGGAATCGCAAAAGAGTTAAGGGGGGGCGCGGCAAGTAAAGTGCCGATTTTGGTCAAAATATGCGATTTTCTGATTTATTTTTTTTCGTAATCTTCAGACCTTCAACTTCCTTGTTCTAAAATATTACAGCGAAACGTGCGCTACAAATCCCGCAAATAGTGTTTTTGCCGAGGCTAGTCGCCGAAAAGTGCGAAAAAAAAGCCCCTGAAACGGTGTTGTTCACGCCGCACAAACGCGCCAAGTTGTTGACCGTGGGCCGCCATTTTGGTAGCTTTGGAAAGAGGAGAAAGCCGGCTTCCCGATGGTCGCGGTCTCGTATTTCGCCGAGTGAAAATAAAAGCGCGAGGAGCAAGTAAAAAAACGAAAACGAAGAACGGCAATTGGCTGCGCGGGTCACGTGGTAGCAGGCGCGACCTCTTACTGGTCAAAGCTGCGCCGCGCACCTTGGCAACCTTGGAAGCGCGAGCGCATCTGCGGCCGCCGTGTCGAGAATCATCCGGCGTGCGCTTCGTTTTTTGCCAGTTTGCTGTTTTTGTGATAGTTCGCGTGCTTTTTTTACCAAGCTTTGTTACATCGGTGGTCTCTTCTGAGTGCTTGCTCATACTGCGGTGCTATGTTGCCGCAAAAAAAGTTCCGGAGCGTCCACAAGTACGGCAAGCGTCGGAAAGCTTGGAACAAAGGGCAGACGACTGCGGCTGCCGTCCCAGTCGCAGTTCCGGACGGAGCATGCTCTTCAAGCGTCACGGAGCCTCTACTCGGACCCTTCGCTGATTGTTGTGAGGCCGAGAGTGTGGAAGGTGCCACATCGTCGTATGTCAGACCGCCGGATGCCGTCGACCGTGATGGACGCTCTCGCGAACCCGATTGCGGTGGCACCGCGTCGGCAGCCGTTGCAACTCCGGGCGTGCGCGCGTCGAACATTCTATCGCGAGTTTCGGCCCAGATTCCGAGCAGTGAAGAAATCGCGCAGCGGGCGCAGACAAGGCGGGATGTTTTGGATGCCGTAGCATCGAAGTCCGCTTCAAAGCGGAAGCTCGAGCTTCTGAACGAAGGCTGCGACGAAAATGACGGCGGTAAGGACTCCACATTCTTCATTGTAAATAAGAATATGCTGAACGGTCTGCTTTCGTCAGTAAAGTGCAACAAGTGCGACGAAGGGTCGATACGCCTCGAGACTACGCACTGCCTTGGACTCGCGGCGAGGATGGAATTTTTTTGTGACAATTGTGGCAGAGTGAACAGTGCGTGGTCGTCCCCGAGGTGCTCCGGGCAACAAAAAACGAACCCCTTTGAGGTAAACGCGCGTGCTTTGAGGGCTGTGCAGTCAGTTGGCAGAAAACAATCTGCCATAAATGACATTTTTTCTGCGATGGACATTTCGCATCGAGCACTGCACCACAAGTCCTACCAGAGACTGCAAAGGAAGTACAGCCACCCTGCCACCACATCAGCTGCCACCCGCATTGAAGCAGAAAGTGCACAGAAGGTGCATGACATTTACAAGGACCTAGGAGGAGTGCCAGGCAACATTGACGTCATTTACGACGGCACGTGGATGACGAGGGGGCACAGAAGTCATATTGGCGTGGGCTGTGTAATCGAGCTGTACACAGGCTTGGTCTTGGACCACTGTGTCCTGTCCAACTACTGCCAAGGCTGTGCTGTTGGCCCCAAGCCTGGTGACGACAACTATGAGGAGTGGCTTGAGAAACACAAGCCACAGTGCCAAAAGAACACCGATGCTAATGCAGGCCAAATGGAAGTAGAAGCAGCTAGGATCATGTTTGAAAGATCGTTTACCAAGTACAAGCTTCGATACATCAATGTGCTCTGCGACGGTGACAGCCGTACGTACCTTGCCCTCACGCAAGACAAGGTGTATGGCTACATGGTGATTAAGAAACAGGAGTGTGTGAACCATGTGAAAAAAAGAATGGGCACTTCCTTGCGCAACCTTCTTGATGAGCACAAATCCAAAGGCCGAGGACTGAGCATGGGTGGCAAAGGCCGGCTGACGCAGGGCCTGATAAAGAAGTTGACGAATTATTATGGCTGGGCCATTAAGAGCCACCCCAACGATGTTCCTGGCATGGAGAGGGCCATCATGGCCACTTATTACCATGTAACATCCACAGACCAGGATCCACACCACAACCTGTGCCCAAGTGGGACTGACTCCTGGTGCCCGCACAATCAGGCATTGGCCAAGGGAGAGCCGCTGCCGCCTCACAAACATAAACTGCCCCCTCACGTGCGAGTGGCACTGCTGCCAATCTACAAGCGCCTCTCGAACAAAGAGCTCCTTGAAAGGTGTGCGCAGGGAAAAACCCAGAACGCTGTGGAGAGTATGAACAGCCTCATTTGGTCACTCCAGTCCAAGAGCCAGTTCGCCTCCCTTCGAAGTGTGGAAAGTGCAGTTGCAGATGCAGTCTGCCGTTTCAAGGGTGGCTGCAAGAGTGCGCTGCAAGAGATCACTGCTCAACTGGGCTTCAATCCAGGAGACTGCTCTTTGCGGCGAGCAGCCGAAAAGGATGCCAAAAGGGTAAAGAGGGCTCAAAAGGCGCATTGTTCCACGACAAAGAAGCGCAAAACTGGGTTGCGCTCTACAGAGGCCAAGGCCACAGCATCTCAGGATTACTACCCAGGAGGATTCTGAGTGTTTTAGGCATGTTGTGAACTTCCAAACAAGAGTGAACTTTCAAAGTCAGTTTTCTCAACTCTTGATTTTCGCCTATGTGCCTTCGCTAGAACATCTGTCATTTTCTAACAAAGACTGATAGAGTCGTTCCGTTTTTTGCACTAGGCTCAGGAGGCCTTTAGCAGTGCAATAAAGCTTTATCTCTCTTCTTACTCATCATTTAAAATTTTTAGAACACATTTTATAATTACTGCGATGTGTGCGCAAAACAACATCCATGTTTTGGAAATTTTATTTATGGTTACAAGAACTAGAAAAATCAACTAATAGCTTCTTTGCACAAGTTGATGCTTTGGGAACATAATAATATGAAAAAATAATTTCATTTAGCAATAATTATCTCTTTAAGTGTGAAGAGCATTAATTAGTATAATTATGCTTGTAACTCAAAAAGTACAAGAGATATTTGAAAACGGTTTTCATATTTGGAATCCTCACAATCATCCACATACACACACCAAATTTCATCACAAACAGTACATTAATAAAAAAAATTAGTTTTACTTGCCACGTCCCTCCTTAAAAAAGGTAATTCGTGATGTAAAACATTTTGTACATCAAAAATATTTTGTAAGTACCTTACAAACATTTGATAAACACCACGATCAGTTATGTTTGGTTTTCGTACATGCTGATTGAGCTGTACTGAAAGATTTTGTGTAGCAGAGATCACTAAGGCCGCAGGTGGCCCTGAGATAACATAATCCACAAATATGCTCATCGTGTACCAAGCATGAGCATAGTGACAGTGATAGTGAAAATGAGTAGTTGATAGCGGGACATGCATTAGTGCACAAACAGATAATTTAAGTGATAGCTCGGTCGCATACGAGTGTAGAAGAATATAGTAAATTAAAGAACATTTCGTAGTCTTAGACAGGAAGTTGGACCAAATGGTCTGGCCCTATGTTAGGGCTGCTGTTTTACAGAATAATAAAAATGAATGCGCAGCTTTTACACTAGTGATACGGTATGTGTAGGATCCATCGAGTTCCTTGGCCAGGCTGCCATAAGAATACATAGGAAACTGGCCGGAGAACTTCTCATGAAGCCTGCACATGGTGGTGGCCCGGCCTAAATGCATTGGGGTTGCAGGAATCTAGTATTCTTTTTTTTTGTTTCAGTGTTGCTGCATTTCAAAGAAAAGGTTACATCATGTGGATCATAGCCAACACGTTTGATCTAATCCATTGAAAAGGAAAGGTTTTTGAAAATTTGTAATACTAAGAAACGGCTGTTTGAATAGCAGCCTTATACTGTGCAACTTTTGAAAAGAAAAACATGCCTTTGGCTTCCCTTCTTTTGTTCAGCTGTGTGACATTGCAGTACCATATGAAGTGGCTGTTTTGCAAACTCATTGTACTGAGACTGGTGAAGTAGATGAAGCTTATGAAATAAATAAATAAACTGACATATTTACCATACACAGCTCTCAATTGCCGTTCTTTGTAAGTAGGACTAATGCGAAACCCTGCCCCGCCGCGGTGGTTTAGTGGCTAAGGTACTCGGCTGTTCACCGCAGGTCGCGGGATTGAATCCCGGCTGCGGCGGCTGCAGTTTCAATGAAGGCGAAAATGCTGTAGGCCTATGTGCTTAGATTTGGGTGCACGTTAAAGAACCCCAGGTGGTCGAAATTTCCGGAGGCCTCCACTACGACATCTCTCACAGTCATATGGCCACTTTGGGACATGAAACCCCACATATCTATCAATCAACTATTTCGAAACTCTGGTAAGCATGTCCTGCAGCAGTATCGTGTAAACTGAAAAATTTATTTCAAGCTTACTGGCATGTAAGCCAGTGAGCTTGAAACCGGCTACTGTGTGTAGCCGGTTTTTGTCGCTCATATTTCAGGAATCACTCGACAGCGGTTCAGTTCCACATGACTGGCAGGTGGGCAAGGTCATTCCGGTCTTCAAGCAAGGAAGCCGAGCATCGCCGAGTAACTACCGTCCGATTTCTATAACAAGCGTCTCTTGTAAAGTAATCGAGCATATCATATACTCGCATATTGCAAACTTCTTAACATCTGTAAATTTCTTTCACCCAAGTCAGCATGGTTTTCGCAAACATTACTCCTGTGACACTCAACTTGCTCTTTTTCTGCATGATCTACACGTAAACCTAGACCGTAACATTCCGACTGACACAATATTCTTAGACTTCGAAAAGGCATTCGACAAGGTCCCCCATGGTCGTCTTTTATTAAAATTATCCCGTCTTAACATCCACCCCTGTGTTTTAAACTGGATACGAGGATTTTTAACCAACCGTCAGCAATTTGTTTATGCTAATTCACGCTCTTCATCTCTAACACCCGCTCTTTCAGGCGTACCGCAAGGTACCGTACTTGGTCCCCTTCTCTTCTTGATATACATTAATGACCTCCCCTGTAATATTTCTTCTCACATCCGTCTATTCGCAGATGATTGTGTTGTTTACCGCGCAATTAATAACCCCTCTGATCATTCCATACTACAATGTGACCTCACCCGCATACAAAACTGGTGTAACACTTGGCTCATGTCCTTGAATGTAACTAAAACTGTGTTAATGTCTATTCACCGTCGTCAACATCACGTTGTTTATAACTACAGCATCAATAACAACCAGATTACTACAGTCGATTCATTTAAATATCTTGGTGTGTACATCTTAGGTGACCTAACTTGGACCTGTCATATTAACCACATAATCAATTCTGCTAATCGTACTCTAGGGTATATACGCCGTAACCTTTCGCTCGCTCCTCCTTCTATTAAAAAAGTTGCCTTTGAAACCTTTGTCCGGCCAAAGCTAGAATATGCTAACGCGATTTTCTACCCTCACCACATTAACCTCACTTATGCCCTCGAATCTGTCCAGAACCGTGCGGCACGGTTTATACTGTCTAACTATTCATACACATCAAGCATCTCGGCACTAAAAGCAGAGATTAACTTACCCGATCTGGCTAAGCGCCGCAAAATCGCACGTCTTAACCTTTATCATAAATTCTTCCATTCTTTGCCTTTAGATAACCCGTACATCAGAAGAGCCCACTGCATTTCCCGCATCAGTCACTGTAACGCAGTATATCCACCACAAGCCCATACTGTGACCTTTCAGCAATCGTTTTTCCTGCGCACAGCCCAAGACTGGAATGACCTGCCCACCAAAGTCGCCACCATCATCGACACCCAAGCATTTAAACGGCTCATCGAAACTACCCCATCATAACTGCCATTATATTGTTAGCCTTTGTAATACCCACTCCCTTATGTAATATCCCAACCGGGACCTTTGAGGTAATAAAATGAATGAATGAATGAATGACGCCTTGCAAAACTGTGATATCAGTATTAGGTGTGAAACATCTTATGGTTGAGCTCAGTCCTGTGTGCGGTGTGACCCTGCTTACAGCGCATGCGCGCCCCTCCCTCTCTCTCTCCCCTCTCCTACGCTTCCCTTCTCTAACCTGGAAATGCTGATGCAGGCAGTGTGTGCGAGTGTCTTGATTGAAAAAACAGACTGCTCACGCCGCACAACCATTGACTGGCCAACCCGTATGTATAGGCACTGCATCTTGGCCTCCAAAGTAGTTTGTGAGGAAGATTTCTCTGGTGCATTGTTGAGCAATACAAATTTGCCGCGTGCATGTTAATGGAGGACTGCGGGTCTTTGTGTCCAATCGGAGTCTTCTGTCTTTCATTGCCCATTAGCAGTCACTGTTCCAGTAGGAAACACCGGTCTATCACTGCGTCCTTTGCTCCTCGCCAGGTTTCTCTCCTGCGAAATGCTCCGAGGAGCGCCAGCGTCAACGCATACACCAGTGTAAACGTTAGGGCCAGCTGCTTTGCATCTACACATGCTTATCTTCAGCGGGAGATGTTTTCTGCATAGTTATGTCTTGTCAGACTGTGAGATCAATTTTGAAAAGCTTTTCAGTACTTGCAAGTTTGCATTGGCTTGAGTGCTGGCACTTTTTTGGACAGTGCTGCACTGCCTATCTTAGTGTTAGGGTTGCATTGCATGCTAGCCAGAAGTTATACTTTTTTGTGCTTAGGAACGCAAAACAAGCTCAGGCACATACCTATAAACTACACCTCTAATGCTTTGTAGCTCTGTTCCACTGTTTCTGTGTAATATGCATGAAATTTGCATAGTAACGCAGTGCTACGAGACCCTTTGTGGCAGCTCTTTTTTTTGGCGTGACATCATTTGAGTGCAACAGATTCTAAACATCACGGCTATCTTGTGATGGGGTAAATAAGCAGTGAGGCCAATAAGGAAAATAAACTCATGTGAAGTGTCGATTCTGTTTCGCAGGAGGCCGTAGTGTTGGAGACGGAGGAGTTTGGAGAGGTGGCATCGCCGGCTGCCCTGGTGTCCCTCTTGGACCGCAGCCCTCCCCAATCGGGTCCCCTGCGAGCTTCAACGACTGACCTACGCCACAGTGCTGGTCAACAGGGGCAGTCGTGTGGCCTGCTACAGCTGCTGGACGACGAGTGCTTGTATCCGGGCAACACTGACCAGGCCTTCCTTGACAAGCTCCTCCACATGGCAGCTTCGGTGCAACCTCGGGGTCAGTGGCACACATTGAATCCAGTGCATATTTGGCTCCCTGGGTCTCTTTTATGTGCGTTTAAACTTTAATGCAAGAACGTTGTTTCACTTCACTTTATCAACGTGTGACCACTCTTTCGTATTGCAATTGCCACTTTGCAGTGCTGTGCCACAGTTAAAATAATACCATTGATTAATTAATTTGAATTGGATTTAAGTATCCCAATTTAGCATTACTGAACGCCTGCATAAAGTTGGACAGGTCCCGAAGAGTAGGAAGTGACAAAGGCACTAAAAGATGTCTGTTTGTCAGCGCACGTCATCACCTTGAGCACTTCCTTTTTTTTTTCTTTGAAATGAAAACTGGCTTTCAGTGTGATTGCGAATGTACCTATTCAATTCTGTACTGCATGTAACTTTAGCACCATAGGGTGCAGAGCTAGAACGTCACACCATCCTACGGTGGCCACATTAATTTAGCAGCTGATGATGCTCAAATCATCTGCTGACAGTGGAAGTTATGTTTATGACACAGTCATTATGGATTAGGGTGTAGCGCTATCATTTAGGCTGCGTGCAAATCGGTCACAAGTGACTAAACACGCGTTGAAAGTGAAGAACGTAAAGACGGCACTTGGCTGATACTGTAAAAACCAGTGTATTTTACGAGGTTTCTTCCAGTTTTTATCATGCAAAATTTTGGCCCATGACTATACTGTCATGGGGTCGTGATGCTGACCAAAGCAGAGAAGGCTTGTCTAAGATGAAACTTTATTTCGCTGAACTTGTGGCTGGTAAACGGAAGGTCAGATGACAGCGATAGACACTGGCAGCGTTAGTGGTGAACAGAGCATTGGCTGTCAATCAACTGGCAAGCGGTGACGTGAACTGGCTTTTATACATGTGCAATCGAATATTCCAGCATTATCGCTAGCTGCCATCTAAGTTCCAGAAAAATCTGTAATGTTTGCATTGTGCACGTGATCTTGGCAAAATGTCCTACTATGAAGGAGAAGCTTCTAGAGCACCCAGTCGCGTTTTGTGCTGACAGTCACTGACAGTTTTTGTGGCTGCAAACCATATACAGATTCAGCAAGAAGGGGGGATGCTCATGGCAATATGCACATTCTAAGAATTCAGTTTCCGTTTAGGCATTGTTCGGGGCTCTTAGCATCATCATCATCAGGCCTCTTCGGTTGGTAGCGCTAGCAGTAGTGTTACTCCCCATGATTGCACGTTATGGGTGAACCGGGAAAGCACTATTCAGTTGCTTTTAAAGGGAAGCTAATTTCAGCTACCAAAACCATCGGCAGCTGAGCTGAGGGGCTCTAGTTTAGAATCAACGAGTGAACTAATCACAGTTGTGGGACACTGAAGAAAGCTGCCTTTGTGTGCAACAGCCTGAGAATTCTCCGGGGGCTGAAAAATGAAGAGTTTTTCGTTGTTGAACGGAAATTAGACTTCGTTCTGGTGCAGTGGAGCACTGCCTCCCGTCGATACTAGTGCGCAACGCGTTTCGGAGTCACCTCTGTGAAGTGACTGCGGCACAGCTCCCACGAGCGAAGCCCCTCATTGCCCTAAAAAGATATACCGCTGCAGCTGCTTAATGTGTGCCGAAATAAACCATTTAAAGATCATGTCAAGCACATATATTTGGAGTGGATAAGGTCCCGAGGGCCACGAGTAAGCTTTGCCAGATGGCTGAAATGGGCCTTGCCAGCGACGTTGTACAAGTATATTGCCGAGGCCTGGGTCTGCATTCCCAAGGTGCTCATCTATCGTGCCTTCAAGAAGCATTTGACCTCAAATGCTTTGAATTCTATTGTTTCTTTATTCTATTGTTTCTGTACTCTGCTCACAGTGTAAAGAAAATAATAGTATTCAATCAACCAAAGGAACAAGCAGGATTTCGAACAGGCTACTCAACAATCGACCACATTCATACTATCAATGAGGTATTAGAGAAATGCTCAGAATATAACCAACCACTATACATAGCCTTCATAGATTACGAGAAGGCGTTTGATTCAGTAGAAATATCAGCCGTCATGCAGACACTGCGGAATCAGGGCATCGATAAAGTATATATATAAAGTCAGCAGTGCGCCATCGGTTCGCGGGTCCCATCCATGTCGCAGAACGCCATGGGCGAGCCGGCTGCTGATATAACTGCATAGTGGGCGGCACACGGGGCACGTGGATGACGTCAGGATATGTACGCGGCACAGTTTCTCCGAAGGCCTGGGGCCTGGCGATGGTTTCGGTGTAACCAAGGGGGCCAGTCACAGGAATCGGTGGGGGTGGCCTGGCGACAACTTGGGCGTAACTGAGTGGTGTAGTTACTGGAGGCGGCTGGTGGTATTCAGGAACGACCTCTGCGATTTCCTGCTGAATGGCTCGGCGGAGGGGAGGCAGAAGTGTGTTTGACGGCTGTTGAGCACGTTGCGGGGAAGCAAAAGCCAGTAAAGAGACCTGGCGGGCAACTTCCTCACGCACGAATGACTTGATTTCAGCGAGCAAGGTAGCGTGGTCAGGAAGTGTTGACAAGGCCGAGAGATCAGCGTCACGTGAGGGTGGTCGACGGGTCATCGAGCGCTGCCGCCGCAGCTCCTCGTAACTCTGGCATAGCGTAATGATCTCTGCCACAGTGCGAGGGTTCTTGGCCAGGAGCATGGTGAAGGCATCGTCAGCGATGCCTTTTAGAACATGGGTAATTCTGTCAGCCTCTGACATGCTCGCGTCCACTTTCTTGCACAAGTCAAGGATGTCCTCAATGTAACTAGTGAAGGACTCACCGGTCTGCTGGGCTCGTTCACGTAACCGCTGCTCGGCTTGCAGCTTTCGAACGGCAGGACGGCCGAACACGTCGACGACGGCGGTTTTAAAAGCGGACCAAGTGGGGAAATCGGATGCGTGGTTGTTGTACCACATGCCGGCCACACCCGCGAGGTAGAAAACCAGGTTTCCGAGTTTACCTGCCTTGTCCCAATGATTGGGGACGCTGACGCGTTCGTACATAGCAAGCCAGTCCTCGACGTCGGTGCCATCCGCGCCGGTGAAGACAGGAGGGTCGCGGATGCGAGGGACACCGGAACATGGCGTCGGCGCAGGAGGAAGCGTTTGCTGTGCGGTGTCTTGGTACATGGTAGAAGGCAGGGTGCGGGATCGAAGCTCCAGGGGCATCGAATGCTAACCGAAGGTGTTAGAAGGGCACAGCACTCTCCACCAAATTGTTGAGACGTTTATTGGCGGACACTTGTCGATGATGCTTGACAGCGACAGTCAATGCGGGTACCGACTCTCTGCACGAGCTGTTCTTCTTTTTGCTAAAAAGGGCGACCCACTAGCAGGCGCTGGAGAGGACGACCCACTGTTCGAAGGCTTCGCCACAATATAAACATCCTGGAAGAAATCTACAGGGGATCAACTGCTACCATAGTGCTTCATAAAGAAAGCAACAGAATACCAATCAAGAAGGGTGTAAGGTAGGGGCACACAATTTCCCCAATGTTTTCAGAAGCCTAGAATGGGAACAGTTAGGGATAAGAGTTAATGGAGAGTACCTTAGTAACCTGCGCTTCGCCGGTGACATTGCATTGCTGAGTAACTCAGGGGACGAATTGCAACTCATGGTTACGGAGTTAGACAAGGAGAGCATAAAGGTGGGTTTTAAAATTAATCTGCAGAAAACGAAAGTAATGTACAACAACCTCGGAAAAGAGCAGCGCTTCGAGATAGGTAATACAGGGTGTCTACCAACCTGGAAAACCTGGAAAACCTGGAAAAGTCAGGGAAAAGTCAGGGAATTTCTGAAAAATCCGGCCAGGTCATGGAAACTGACTGTAGTCTTTCAGATCATCACGAAAATATTCATTAGCCTTAATCAAAGCTTTAAAAATCGCTCCTTAAACCACACAGAACACCTAAGCAGAAGCATAGTTAAAAAAAAAGCAGTGCATAGCTGGCGCTTCTACTTTCCGAGTACAACGTTACTCACGCGCATAAAATTGTGCATGTTTGTCTTGGCCGCGATCTCGGCTCGGCTTGAGGGTTTTCTGGTTAGGCTGGAAGTGCCATCAGCAGAGGGCAAGGTGCACAGAATATGCGAGTCGTAATTATTTTTTTACTGAAATGTGTAGTTTACAGGTGCGTAAATTGGACTGGGATACAAAAACAGTAGTAGAGCAAATATGGTAATCCAGATCGGATCCAATCCAATCCAATCCACATATCAAGATGCCTGGGCTGCAGCCATATTGCCGTTCTTCTTGTGATGCCGTGAGCATGCAGTGAGTTGCTATGCCTCTTGCGAAGAAGTGTTCGTTTAACCCTGATTGGGTGAACGCGGAAATATCCGAGCATGCCTCATGGATTAGAGCAGTGCCGAACGATACAAGTAAGGCTCACTGTGCAGCATGCCAGAAGACTTTCTCACTTAGCAATATGGGCATCGCTGCTGTCTCCAGTCACGCTGTGAGCAAGAAACACCTAACTGCTGTGAGCATTGTGCAAAGTGCTTCCCAGACAAACATCCGCGCGTTTTTCGATGCTGGACCCAACTTGCCGTGTTCCAGGACTGCTACGACTACGAGTGAATGTGTATCGACTGTGCCAAGCACGAGTGCTGAAAGCGTGCCTGCTAAACCGGTGGCCGTCGCGCTTGACGGGAAGGCATCCTTAAATGGGTTTCTGGTCAAAAAATGTGTCACGAAAGCAGAAGTTGTTTGGTGTCTGAACACTATAGCGACCCATGGATCGTTTCGTTCAGCAGCAGCGTCAGCGGCGCTTTTTCCCATCATGTTCCCCACGTGCGACGTCGCGAAGTTGCAACTTGGTAAGGACAAAGTTGGCTATACAATTTGTTACGGTATAGCCCCGTACTTCCGAAACAGGCTGCTATCAAAGCTGCATAGTGTCCCACACGTGGTCGTGGCTTTTGACGAGTCCCTGAACAAAATTGCTCAGAAAGAGCAAATGGACGTTTTGATCAGGTTTTGGGACCCAGCTGACGACGTTGTCAAAACCCGCTACCTGACGTCCTGTTTTTTAGGACACACTCGCGCAGAAGATTTAGCTGCCGCTTTCAAAAAGGCCACTGAGAACATTGAGCCGGCAAAAATACTTCAACTTTCGATGGATGGTCCAAACGTCAATTTGAAGTTGTTGAAGTCGTTGAAGCAAGAGTTTTCTGCGTCTGATGGAAATCAGAATATTGTGGACATTGGAAGCTGCGGACTGCACGTTGTGAGTGGTGCATTTAAAACAGGCCACAATGTGACAAAGTGGAACACAGTAGTGTTTCTTAGAAGCTTGTACAATTTGTTCAAAAACGTCCCTGCACGCCGAGCCGACTATGTCAATTTCACAGGGAGCATACTGTTTCCGCTAAAGTTTTGCTCAGTGCGCTGGCTGGAAAATGGCAAGGCTCTTGCTAGGGCACTGCAAGTCCTCCCAAATGTGGTCAAATATGTTGAGCATGTCAAGAAAGAAAAGAAACTTCCAGCGTGTGGCAGCTATGCTCATGTCGAGACGGCTGTGAAAGACGAGATGCTGCCAGTAAAGCTGGCCTTTATGCTTTCAGTTTCAGAAGAATTGGAGCCATTTTTGGCTGAGTTTCAGACAGAAAAGCCGATGCTACCTTTTCTTGCAACAGCACTGGACGGCCTGTTGCGGTCACTGCTGGGACGAATCGTGCTAAAGGAAAAGCTGGATGCTGCAGGCACATTTTCAAAACTGATAAAAATTGATCTGGAGAACCCAAACAACATCATTGGTATAGCTGCCTTTGACATAGGCCTTGCCGCCAAAAGTGAGTTGCGAAAGATCACTAAACCATCTCACACTGCGGTGGTAAGTGTCAAAAAAGAATGCATCTTATTTATTAAGGCCTGTTCAGCAAAGATAATCGAAAGATCACCTCTGAAATACAAGCTGACAAGGGGGGCCAGTTGCTTAAACCCAGCAGTTTGTGCCGCTTCTGTGGAAGCTGGCCAGAAGCAGCTAAACATTGCACTTGAAGTACTTATAGAGCATGGGCGCCTTACAGGCCTACAAGGAGAGAGAGCAAGTAGATCATATATACAAGTGTGCTCGAACAGCACTGCACAAGTGCGTTTGCGAAAATTTGATCGTGCAAGAGAGCGCTTGGAGAAGCTGTGGGTGGAACTCTGTGCAAGTTCTCATGAAGAGCTACTGCTGTTTGTGAAGATTGTGCTGTGCCTTTCACATGGAAATTCTTCCGTGGAGCGGGGATTTTCAGTGAACAAGGAATGTCTTGTGGAAAATATGAAGGAGGAGTCACTTGTAGCACAAAGGTTAGTGTACGATGAGGTGTCTGCAGCAGGTGGCGTTGCAGAGGTTGACGTAACAGACAAGATGATAGACATGGTTCGAAGTTCCAACATCAAATGGAAGGAAGACCTGGAGAGGAAAAAGAAGGAACGGTTGGACGTATTGGATGCTGAAAGGAAAAAGAAGAGGACTGCGGCTCTTGTGAAAGAGCTTGAATCAAAGAAGCAAAAACTGATGGAAGACGCACAGCTTCAGGTCTCCATGCTGCAGCAAGAGATTGAATCCTTGAAACAGTGAAGGCATGCCGATGCAAGTAAACAAGCTTTTCTGTTTGTCGAGGGACAATTATTGTGTCTTTGAATATTTTATTTATTGTAAAAAATGCTTTCAGACAAGGGAATGCAATAAAGCAGCATGGTTTCCATTTTATATGAGCGCCTCATAATTTCTTTTTACCGCTCAGGAGTTTGTTTTCCAGTGCGCAGTTTCTTCCAAGCAGACGTACCGGTCATGGAATTTGCTTGAAATGGTCATGGAAAACCTGGAAAAGTCAGGGAATTTGGAAAAATGTAATTGGTAGACACCCTGTAATAGTGCACTTCAAGTGGTAAAAGACTGTCTACTTAGGGCAGATAATAACCGCGGAGCCACACCACGAGATTGAAGTAACTAAAAGAATAAGAATGAGGTGGAGCACATTTGGCAAGCATTCTCAAATTATGACAGGTTGGTTGCCACTATCCCTCAATAGGAAGGTATATAACAGCTGTATCTTGCCGGTACTTAGCTACGGGGCAGAAACCTGGAGATTTAGAAAGAGGGTTCAGCTTAAATTGAGGACGACGCAGCGAGCAATGGAAAGAAAAATGGTAGGTGCTAACCTTAAGAGACAAGAAGAGAGCAGAGTGGATTAGGGAACAAACGGGGGTTAAGGATATCATAGCTGAAATCAAGAAGAGGAAATGGACATGGGCCGGGCATGTAGCATGTAGACAGGATAACCGCTGGTCATTAAGGGTAACTGACTGGGTTCCCAGAGAAGGCAAGCGGGTTAAGGGGAGACAGAAGGTTATGTGGGCAGATGAGATTAAGAAGTTTGCGGGTATAAATTGGCAGCAGCAAGCACAGGACCAGGTTAACAGGCGGAACATGGGAGAGGCCTTTGTCCTGCAGTGGACATAGTCAGGCTGATGATGATGATGATGATGCTCTTGATTGCAATGAAAATGAAGTGTTGTTGGAGGACATCTTGATTGATCGATATGTGGGGTGTAACGTCCCAAAAGCACCATATGATTATGAGGGACGCCGTAGTGGAGGGCTCCGGAAATTTCGACCACCTGGGGTTCTTTAGCGTGCGCCCAAATCTGGGCACACGGGCCTACAACAGTTTCCGCCTCCATTGGACATGCATTCAACCCCGCAACCTGCGGGTCAGCAGTTGAGTACCTTAGCCACTAGACCACCGCGGCGGGCCTGTAGGAGGACATCTGTGACTAGGCAGTTCCGGAATAAAGTGCGACAGGCGACCATCAATAAGTGTGAATGAACGTTATTTAGTTTCTATTTTCCTCAGGCGGTCCTCATCTATCCACTTCAGCATTCGCTGACCATGTTTCAGGGACCTGTTTAGGAATGAGTTTACGAATCATCATTTTGTAGGTGCCCACTGCGAATGCAGAGCACCAGTCGCTGTTGGAGCGAGGAGCCCGTCCAGGGGAGTTCACCGTCCTACACCAAATGGGCTCTCTGCCGGTCACCTACTGCTGCAGGGGCTGGCTGAAGGCGAGCCGGGAAACACCATCATTCCGTCAGGCACCACTGCTGCTGCAGGAGTCACAGAAGTGAGCCCACTCTTCATTTACGGCAGCAATGAATGGGTTACATTCTCATATGCTGTTTAACTCGGCACAGAGAAGTAGTGCCCAGGTAGTGTTCAAATGTACGAGCACCTCGAACATTAGAATTTACTTTGCTGCGAATTTAAGTTGTCTTAAATGTCGACCGCATCGAACGAATAGGCATATATAGACCACATGTAAACCCTGCTTCCTGTAAAGGGGGTCTCGCTGCAGTATAGGAGTGCCGTGCCATAAAAACACTTTTTCAGAGAAAACTTTGCACTGTCGCAGTCTTTCGTTAACATCGAATAAATGAATGTAATACCATCATATTGATCAATCACTTAAATATAAAAGTGTCTCATATGATCCTGTATACTCTCACTGTTGTAAAAATTAAAGCAATGTGTTTTACTAGTTATCACTTGCATCCTACTTTAACTCACGTCCACTACTTTTCAAGCTTGCTTCCACGACACTTTGAACCAAGAAGACTGACATTTGCACATCTGTTGCTCCAAGTAAAAAAAAAAAAAAGCAGTAGCGAGTTAGCGGGGGCATGACAAATATGATTGTTTTTCTTTATACTATGTCAAACGCACTATAAACACTATTCTTCGACGAAGTTATTCAACCGAATCACGATTTGCTTTGAATCCAGAATTTACTATTCACACACTCCTACATATCCAAAATTTATAATGACACTTCTATGGCGAGGCTTAGAGCGTGGAAAAATGAACATTGAGAAGAAGATGCAGCACGGGTGCTCCGGTATCACTTCTGTGTGTCCACTTTCCCATCTGCTAAACCTTGTCATAAAGAAAGTGTGCAAGGTGCACAAAACAGACGCATGTTGAATGTACAGTATCAAATCCCACAGTGCCAACAAATTGTAAGAAAATGATAATAATATTCTTTATTCATCGACATCAGCAAATAACCTTTCTAATTCACTTAGCTGCATAAATTTCTTCATGAATACCCTAGTGGGCTCGATGATCCTTTCTGGAACTGAAGGGGGCTTTAAAAAAGTTGTATTAGCAAATGTGAAAATGCCAGTGCAAAGTGTCTCTTATAAGCAAGGTACTATTCATTTTTTTGTCAGCTCCTATTTTTATGTAGGCTCACTGGTGCTTCTTATATCGAGCTGCCTCTTGCATGAGTGTCTTATAAAGGGGTGCGACTGTATAAATAATATATACTAAGTAATGTTGCCCACTTGTCCTATTGAAACATGTGTGGATGCCTATGGAGGGCGAAGGCCTGGGGAGGAGGGTAGGGGGCAGTTGTGCAGCTCGCTGTAACTGAAGGGAAATGTGTGAGAGGGCAAAGACTCATTCCTTTGCACCAAGGCCTGCATTTTTTCAAAGTAGTGCAACCTCTTTCTCTCATTGCATTGTGTGTTTTCTTTAAACATGAAAGACAGGAACATGTCTTTTTGACAAAGGGCTCTGGTAAAAGATGTTTGCACATGCAGTAAAATTTGGGAATGGAAAATCGTACACTAAGGATCTTGCTGTACTTGCTATCACCTGTTTCAAGTATTTGACCCAGTATGAGCGAGCTGGAATGATCGCGCTTTTATTGTTATCAGAACTGTCCGAGAAAACAGAGCCACTAAAGTAGCGTTGCTTTTTGTTTCATTCAGCTGAAACGTGGGTATCAAGCATTATGAAGTCTCGGATTCATCTAAAAAACTTTGGAAGCAAGTGTACATGAAACAAACTTAGTAATGATCTACTCACATCCCATGGCTTCCCTCAGTAAAAGTTCTTTCTCCCGATACGATGCAGTCATCTTCCTTGCCGCTCGATTTTTTCCTTTTCCTCATGGAGTAAGAAAAAAAGGTTGTCTCCTGTCGCAACGTTTTTTAAGCAGCCAACATGATAGCAAGTCGGCATTGTGCTACAGCTGTTGCTGTCTAGCAGAAGGTACAGGGCATAGAGTTTGATACAATGATACCTAGAGGGGAATATGGCGCTAGTGTCTATGCGGGCTCCTTCAGCGGTGCTTGTACCCCTATGGGAATTATCGGAAGTAGAGTCTTCTGCTCTGCTTCGGATGGATTACGTTCTTGAGATTCGCAATGCTTGTTTGCCGAGTGTAAAAGAAAGTAATATTAACCTATATTAATTGAAACTTCCTTCATTCTTTTGTACATAAATCTTGTTGCAAAAAGTTTTCGTGGCCATGAAGTAGAAGTGAAACTTAAACAAATATAACCACCAGGGTGCGCATTGCTCTGCCACTGCGTTCCACATTTGGCATCGAGATATATTGAATTATTTTCACAACATTTGAAAACAAACGTTCTTGTTTTGCCCTCGAAAGTATGCGTTATCTATTTATGAAAGTAACAGCACAGTATTAAGGGAGAAACACTTAACGTTTTGTCTGCTGCAATGCCAGGTGCGTCTGTACGAATGGTCTGCCACCAACGCACCTCTCGTTTTTGTTGTCAACTCGAGTGAGATGTGCGTGACGATGTGTCTACTTAGCTTCGCTGTCATTATGCAGTCGAGTTAAACAAGTTAGCAAGACAAGCTAAGGAAAAAACGTGAACTCAATCTAATATTCTGCACTGGCATCTAATATTCTGCACGCTACATCTACGCACAATGGTGAGTGAATGAACTGTCAAATGCGACTTGTAGAGCTCCGAAGATGCTCCAAATCTCAGACCTAGGGATCTTCAGCCTTTTGAACTACTAAGGCACTGCTTCAGTTCTTTCCACCGCACTCCACTAACCACGCTGGGCAAAGAACGAAACTGTAGAAAAGGATCTATAGATAGTTTGCTAGCAAACCAAATCTAGTCTAAAGCGTGTACTTGCCATAATTTCCATGGGGGTACACGACCGCAGTACCATATTTTGCTCTAGGTATTATTGTATGAAACTCTATGGTAAAGGGCCCAGTTTCACTGGTAGTGCAAATGTTTGCCTGTGTTGCTACACTGCCTCATTTTTCGGTGATTGAAATTCACGGTCATCATCGGAAGGGAAGGAAGGGCGGTCACACAGCGGTCTAGACAGGACTTGGGCGGTGCTTATGAAGCCTCTCACAAACACTGCTGGAAGTGGTGCCCTGAGTGTGTTTCTCCATCTCAATCTGTGTTTGTCGTTGTCTTTGCATTTACAGTCGAATCTCGATAATTCGAACTCGAAGGGGCCCTAAAATTTGTTCGAATTAATGAAAGCTAAATAAACGGAGGGCTCTCCACGCAGTGACGCATGTGCATTGAACTAACACACGAGGGGGAAGCTTCAGAAGACTTACATTTATTCAAAAATCACAGGACATCCGTTATTAATTAAAGTAAACGGTGATGCACGTCTGCACACGTTTGCCTTGCAGCGAGTCAATCAATTTCGCATACAGCTTGCAAAGCATTTCTACTTCGGCTTCAGAATTCTCCTGGCAAGAGAAGTTGTGGGCGGAGCATCTTCCGGCCAGGAGCATTCGAGGTAGCAGTGAGAAAGACAGCAAAGTTGGGAAAAAAAGAAAAGAGATGTTTTCTTTATTACATATTTCAAGCGGATGCCTCTACTAGCGAGCCAAAGCCCACTTTAAATGACTTTAGGACAAAAATATTGTTCACACATAGGACATCCGTTATTAATTAAAGTAAACGGTGATGCACGTCTGCACACGTTTGCCTTGCAGCGAGTCAATCAATTTCGCATACAGCTTGCAAAGCATTTCTACTTCGGCTTCAGAATTCTCCTGGCAAGAGAAGTTGTGGGCGGAGCATCTTCCGGCCAGGAGCATTCGAGGTAGCAGTGAGAAAGACAGCAAAGTTGGGAAAAAAAGAAAAGAGATGTTTTCTTTATTACATATTTCAAGCGGATGCCTCTACTAGCGAGCCAAAGCCCACTTTAAATGACTTTAGGACAAAAATATTGTTCACACATAGGACATCCGTTATTAATTAAAGTAAACGGTGATGCACGTCTGCACACGTTTGCCTTGCAGCGAGTCAATCCAATTTCGCATACAGCTTGCAAAGCATTTCTACTTCGGCTTCAGAATTCTCCTGGCAAGAGAAGTTGTGGGCGGAGCATCTTCCGGCCAGGAGCATTCGAGGTAGCAGTGAGAAAGACAGCAAAGTTGGGAAAAAAAGAAAAGAGATGTTTTCTTTATTACATATTTCAAGCGGATGCCTCTACTAGCGAGCCAAAGCCCACTTTAAATGACTTTAGGACAAAATATTGTTCACACATAGGACATCCGTTATTAATTAAAGTAAACGGTGATGCACGTCTGCACACGTTTGCCTTGCAGCGAGTCAATCAATTTCGCATACAGCTTGCAAAGCATTTCTACTTCGGCTTCAGAATTCTCCTGGCAAGAGAAGTTGTGGGCGGAGCATCTTCCGGCCAGGAGCATTCGAGGGTAGCAGTGAGAAAGACAGCAAAGTTGGGAAAAAAGAAAAGAGATGTTTTCTTTATTACATATTTCAAGTGGATGCCTCTACTAGCGAGCCAAAGCCCACTTTAAATGACTTTAGGACAAAAATATTGTTCACACATAGGACATCCGTTATTAATTAAAGTAAACGGTGATGCACGTCTGCACACGTTTGCCTTGCAGCGAGTCAATCAATTTCGCATACAGCTTGCAAAGCATTTCTACTTCGGCTTCAGAATTCTCCTGGCAAGAGAAGTTGTGGGCGGAGCATCTTCCGGCCAGGAGCATTCGAGGTAGCAGTGAGAAAGACAGCAAAGTTGGGAAAAAAAGAAAAGAGATGTTTTCTTTATTACATATTTCAAGCGGATGCCTCTACTAGCGAGCCAAAGCCCACTTTAAATGACTTTAGGACAAAAATATTGTTCACACATAGTCTGCACATGAATCCAGCGCCGACACTTTCTAAAGACGACGACTACGTAGCGGCTGCAGCATGACCAGCATGTGACGAGAAAGGAGGAGTGTCTCCATGTGGAGAGAAGCTGATCAGCATTTGAGAAAAAAACCAACACTCCACGGCAGTTATTATTTATTTTTTTTGCTCTCTTCATGCGCGAAGTTGAAAGGAGGAGGGTTATGCGGCAGGGACGGGAAAGTGGGAAGTGTGGCACCTGCGCGTGAGAGACCCCCCCCGCCTCAAGGCACAGAGCAGTGCCTTGAGGCGGGGCTAGGGGCAATGGCTGCAGAAGATAGTGCTTTTTTCCTTTCCTTTAACCGCACATTCATTCAACCCAGCGACAGCTTCCTTTTTTTTCTTTTCCTCTCTCTCTTCGCATGCAGCGTTGGAAGAAGGGTCTTTACGTGGCAGGAACGGAAAAGGGAGAAGCGTGACACGGGCGCGTCCAGATCGGCATTTGAGAGAGAGCAAACATTCCCATGCAGCCTTTTTTTTTCTTTTTATTTCCTTCGCACGCCGCGTTGAGGTGTCGCAGGTGCCGCTGCGGGATTGGTTGGGGTGCTGAGAGCATTTTCCGACCGCGGTATGGTCGAATTAACCGTCGCAAGCGCTTGCACGTTTGAATTACCGGGCGTTTTCGCTCATTGGAATACACATAGCTTTGACGGGACCTCGTCCTGAGTTCGAATTAATGGGAAATTCGAATTAATCGTGTTCAAATTATTTAGATTTGACTGTATTATCTCGGATCATCCAAGAAGCCTTCGTTGGAAATGTGCGTAGGGGAAGCAGAAAAGGGCGAAGAGAAGAGCATGGGAAGAAGATTCTTCTTTCTCCATAGTATCACAATTTGGTTCTCTGTCTTTGAGAAAGTACAGACTTCGAATCTCATCAGGGCATACAACCCTTCCTGAAACAAAGCAACTGAATTCCCCCTCTATTGACACTGTTCTTTTTTTTTTTTTTCATGAATGTGCTGTACTTTGGGTCACAATAAAATTTCTCTCCTCCTCTAAAGAGTGTGATGACAATCGAAACAGCCAAGCCTGCATCGAATGCGCAGTACAGTCATAGCAAAAGCTGGAAGAGCGGTCTTTCTAGAGCCTTTTTTCATACACTCTAGAACTTGTCTTCCGGCCAGGAGCATTCGAGGTAGCAGTGAGAAAGACAGCAAAGTTGGGAAAAAAAGAAAAGAGATGTTTCCTTTGTTACATATTTCAAGCGGATGCCTCTACTAGCGAGCCAAAGCCCACTTTAAATGACTTTAGGACAAAAATATTGTTCACACATAGTCTGCACATGATGTCCTGAAGAAGAAAAATGTACAGTGGATTTCTGTAAACAGAAATCTGTTAAACAGAACTGCTGCTTAAATGAAACAACTGCCTCTGATATGATTGCTTTCATCCCTCCATACTGCACCCCAGTTGACCTCTCAGTAAATGTAACTCCTGTTAAATGGAGCACATTTTCCTGATCCCTTCAGTTTCTGTTTAATGAGAGTCCACTGTATTGGTTTCACTCCTGGGAAAGGGCAAGGCCAGCTTTTCAGTTCTCCCAAGCAAGGACCAGATTATTGTACAATGGATCTCCAGGCAGATAGCTCAGTAGAGCCAATGGCTTTCCTCTTCGTAGTGACAGTGACTGTGTAACATTGCAGAGGTCATCCCAGATTCATGGCAACCAATCTACGCACCTGGGGAAATAGTCCAAAAGAGAGGGCTGAGGATGTTATCAGTGCAAGCCCCCCTCTTCCTCTGCCTCGCTGCAGTGCAATCACAACCACTTTTCTGTGAATATTTAGAAATAATTCCTTTCTGTCATATAGAACAACTTTCCAAAGAGGAGCAGGGTGGCTGGCCTCAAACCGGTGCATAATCTTTACTCTGACTCTGGCCACTGCTGCTGGTGCGTGCGGTTTTTGCTGCATATATGGACACTAGGGAGCAGTCGGGATACCAAAAACTCGAGGACTAAAAACTGCGAACGCACACTTTGGCATAAAATAAAGAAGTCAAAAAAATTCACTATCTGCACATGCCCAGGCTGTAAGTGAACCAATCTGCGTCCCGACTTCCTTCTTGTGTCCATGTTTGCATGCCTAGTCTCTTTCATAGTGAATACGTATCATCTCAGCTCTCTGTTAGTATTTAGGCAAGCTTTCATCTTCACTCCACAGTGCACTCGTGAGCTGCTACTGCATCTACTCATTTGTTTTCATGCATATTCTCTGCCCTCTCAAAGAGAGCTCGTGAGCCAGCTGTTTTCATCGGCTCGGGGCATGCTGCCCCCAGTGGGCCTCGGGGGCAGCCTGACGGCCGAGACAAACAGCACGTCCTCGCTGCGCCGCTCGTCCAGCATTCGGCGTGCCCAGTCGGTGGCTGGTGCCAAGCGGCGCTCACTGCCTCTCCAAGTCAAGCACACCACCGTGAGTTACAGATATGGGGCAAAGAAGTTTTTCTCTATACTGCGGGAGATATCCATTTTATATTCATTTCACTTGGAACACTTGGATTCAGCAGAAGCAATTGTTTTTTGATGCTGACAAAATTGTAGGCAAGGTTCTGTGGTATGTTCCTTTGGCTTCAGTCTAAATTATGTACCAGTGTAGTATGCATTCATTACAGTAATTTGGTTCTTATCCCTTTCCCCACAGTAGGGTAGCATACCAGTGTTTCTAGGCTGGTTAACAACGCTGCCTTTTCTTTCTCTTAGAGGGGCTTATATCAGCGAAGCCTCATTAAACATAAAAGTGTCTTTGTCCTTAATTCGAAGCCTTAAATTCCGCTTCAAACAGGAATAGTGGCCAATGGCATCAACATGAGAGATAGAAAGAGGGGTGATCACGTGTTGATGCCAACACAAGACATTGCTCAATCAGTGCAATTAAATTGGAAGAAAAAAATGTCATCCTAGGTTAACACTTAATGGACCTGGTGAATTAATGAGTATTTATTAGTGTCTATTCATAACCTGATTATGTTAAAACTGATACGAGATAATATATTTTGTTAAACCTTATATTTCGAATGTGCACTTCTATATTGAGGTCTTGCTCACTTAATCTTGTATTAAGCGGGTATGCAACTTTCGAATCAGTGAAATGACTTGTGGGCTCTAGCTTGTGTCTGTGTAATGGCAACATCCAGGACAGCCTGCTGGAAGTTGTCCGTCGGACTCGCCTCCATTTTGTGCACTGCCTGGTGCCCTGTGAGAAGTCGTCTACCAGCACCAACGACGCTGGGGACGGTGGCGAGCCTCGTTTTGACGTCGACCTAGTCCGGTCTCAGCTCAAGGGAGCCCAGATCTTAGATGCCGTGCGTGTACGCAAACAGGGTGAGTTGAACAGCTGTTAGGCAAGTGTTCTTAACTGCAATCTTGTAAAATGTTGCTAGCCTGGCTACACAACTGGCTTGAAGTGGTGGTTAAAATAGAATGCTAACCATGTTTGATTTCTTAGTAAACCTTGCAGTCTCGGCTGAGAGTAACGGACTAGTCACAGATAAGTAGCATGGCAAATGTATTAGCGAAGCACAGTGCATGCCCTTTAAACTCTCAGTTACTCCTATTGTAGTGCTTGAAAATTGAACATTGTTAAGAATTACTAAATAATTCACAATAAAGCCTGCTCAGTGACAGATTGTTATGCTGTATGAGAGGTGTTATTGGTTAGGTGTAACCTTGTAAACAATCACTGGCTCCGTGACGCCAGCAGGCAGGAAAAGGGGTTCTACACTCACCATCATGGCTACTGGTGGTGATGGCTAACACTGCCAGGTTTAGGTGCACAAATATACCCCATAAGGTGGACATAAGGATGACCGCCATCGTAGCTCAGTTGGTAGAGGATAGGATGCGTTATTCAAAGGTCACAGGTTCTGTTCCTGCTCGGGACAAGTTATCTTTTTGTCCACTTTTTTTTTAATCTCATTTACATTACAATTACTTCCTATAACATTCCTGTGCTTTTTTTGGCATCATTTGTGTTAGTTCTAATTAATGGTGTTGTGCCGGTAACATTACATGAGGTGCCACCTGTTTTTGCACCTTTTGAATGTCGTATTTTAAGCAAATACAGTGGACTATCAGTAAAGGGAACCTGAAGAGACCAGGAAAATATGTTCCATTTAACAGGAGCACAGTTTACCGAGATGTGAACATGGGTGCAAAATACAAGCCTGAAACCAAGCATTGCAGAGGCAATAGTTCCGTTTAAGCAGTAGTTTCCTTTAACAGATTTCAGTTTACCGAGGATCTACAGTATTTAATAACAAAGCCAAATTAAAAGAAATGTGATGCATTTTTTTTTTCAATATTTATTTCGCTTTTAATACTGCTTTTGAAGTTTTCAGCTTGCGGAAACCAAAAATATCTTTGTTACAGCCACTATTGTGGTCGCTCGAATGTCATTGAAATAACACATGACCACCCGAATTTCCTTATTGAGTTTGCTATAAATATTAGTACAATAAAGCAATGTTCATAATGACAAAATTCAACTGTATATGAATTCCTCAGGAGAAAACTTACAGAGATTTTTCTTTGTAAAATTTTTACAGAAGAGGTGCTTCTGGTTTCCTTTAGGTTGTCTTATTTGTCGGTCTTCTCATGGTCTGTCCCGAGTATTATCACTGTACAGTGATATTTGCCTAAAGTTTTTTTCTGTGGTTCTCTGTTATCAGGCTTTCCAGAGAACCTTCTCTACCTGGAATTCCGGAGACGTTACAGCTTACTGGCATCTCCGGACACCCGCCCAGTCAACGGTGAGCCTGGAGATGAGCGTGCGGCCACGGAAGTGCTGCTCCAACAGTTGGACCTGGAAGCCAGCAGCTATCGCCTGGGTCTCAGCCAGGTCAGTGCACAGTTCTCAGTCATTGGAAGTTGTTGGCCACCTACTGTGCTGAGACATGAGCAGCGGAGCTGCTGAAGCCGAGATAAGTCACTGGAATACCATCGGGCATGTGATGTGGCGCAGTTGCATGAGCAAAGCCTGACGGGAGGTAAAGCATGATTAAAAACTGAATGGGTATGGGGGAGGCTTAGTTCAGCTGCTGTTACAGGATGGTCTGCTGCTGTTACTTGACGCATTCAGTCACATTAAGCACTTTTAAGGTTAGGACAGAATCAGCTGATGCAAGACAACGGTACAGTATAATCTCGATGATACGATTAAGGTAGATGTGAATTTCGGGATGATACGAATTTTAAGGTTGTTTTTGATCGACTACAATATGTAAAATACACCATGATTCGGTGCTATACGAATGGTTTCCCCGACCACCGCGGATAATACTGCCACCTGGCCATGAACTGCGGCGAGCATGAGCCCGCATCTAGGAGAAACAAACGAGGAAGTCGTTATTGGGCAACGGGTGCTCTTGCAAGGTCTTTTTAGTTGTGCGGCATCACTGACCTGGACCTGCATCTCTGCGACTACGCGATATTCCTTACCCCAAGTCCCTCTCTTCCACACGCGACAACTGGCTGGAGTCACTGGGTATTCCCAGCCAATGATCCAAACGCTTCCTGGTAGCCCTGTACCTGCGGTCACAACACCTGTCCACTGGGCCAACCAGAGAATCCGAGGATGGTACCTCGAGCATGAACCTCTGCTGCAGATGACGTCAACTGCACCACCCCAAGTGGTACAGAAAATACTCCGCTGGTTAACTACACGCTGCAAAAGCCACGAGTGCCGGAGGTGTTCCGCAACTCCTTGTTGTAGGATGTCGTGGACTGGTTGGCTCACTTTGAACGCATTGCTGCTTTCAACGAGTGGACCGACGTCAACAAGCTGCGGAATGTTTACTTCAGCTTGAGGATGGAGCTCGTACTTGGTACGAGAACCATGAACCCTTCTCGTCGTGGACGCTGTTTTGCCGTCACCTGCTGGCTAGTTACGCCGACCCTCCATCGCCGTGAACGAGCAGGAGTGGACCATTCAATCACGCATTCAAATGCCGAACGAAAGCATGATGGCGTACGTAGAGGACATGACGAGCCTTTTCGGTCGCGCCGACCTAGGTATGGCAGAACACAAGAAGTTGCGGCACCTAATGCAAGGAGTTAAGGGGCAGCTCTTCACTAGTCCCGTCCCAAGTCCCTCAAATACTGTGGGGTAGTTTGAACTGAAGCTATGACGATGGAAAACATGCTGCAGCAGCGATCGGCTGTGTACGACTTTCATGTCAATGCTGCTTCGCCATTGGACCAGATTGGAGTTGCGGGGAGCAACGTCAGTCTCGAAGCTCTCTGCGACCTCATTTGATCAGTGGTCGCGACGAGCTGCAAAATATTCACGGCCCACCTCCACCTGCTACAGGATCCACCTCCAGCCTCATGAGGAGTGAAGTACAGCGGGCTTTGCAAGTCCCGCTTTCCAGCAATGCTTCCCCGCCTGTACCTACGAAGCCTTGCTGTGCACCGTATGCCGAGGCTGTGAGAAGTTACGTCCCTCCTGCATCATACGCAAAAGCCGCAAGCAGTTACGCCCCTCCACACCAAACATGCGATTGACCCTGCATGCCAGCGGCGCAATGTGGCTTGTTAGTGAAAGAAAGGACAGTTCACTCTTGACCTCAAAGGGAGTGAATATGGCAAAACGCCCCAGAATTTTTCTCGCTTTGGTGCCCGGAAAAACACGTATGGTGCAAGGCCAACGCAAAAAAAATCGATCCGAGACCGATTTCCCCACCACGCGATAGCATATCACCTTTTTGCTTCATGGCTATGGCTTCGCCGGCTGCTCTATCTCTCAAATCATGTGATGTCAACAACAAGCCGCAAATGAACATGGTGGCGAAGGCATCGGCGATGGTTCGCGTCAACAGTATCGCGAAATACCCGCGCGGCACGTCAAAGCTCACAGCCTTGACGACGACGCGTTCATTGAGAGCCTGGTTTGGATTACGCTCGCTGATAACACCGGAAGTAGAAGGTGCAGCAGCATCGAGTTGGCTTGCCTGAACGTGTCTTGCTTTCGCACTGCTGTCTGAATCTGTCGCCGCCACTGTGTCCGCTTGTGTTACTTAGACTGGCGTGTCTTCCGAAATAACTTTAGTAAAGGTGTAAACTGTTTCCTTTCAGTGCCTTGTTTTTATAATTATGACTCTGTACGAACTTCAGTGCTTAAGAAACGAGCAAATTGAATAATTTTCAGGTGGCGATGGCGGCGGCAGGGGTTGCATGTATAAGAGGAGCAGAACGAGCGGGAACCTTTTCGGTGTGCGCGGACGAGGTTTTCCGGCTGCGCTGGCAATTTCGCTTGAATTCTTCAATACAAATTCTCCAGGACTCTTTTTTGTTCATGTCCGCTTCGCCGTGTGGTTTTCTGGCTGCTTAAGCAAGGAAGCAAGTGAATTTCCAGTGAGTTTAGCCGCTTTGGATCGCTCTGATGTCAACTGTGAAGGCGCTGCACCAGCAGCATGAGTGAGGAAACCGCGGCACTTAATTAAGAGACGGTGAAGGCAGGAAAGTTCAAAAGAACATCACAGACTTTTTTTCAGCAAGGTGTAGTTGCCAATGAAGTTCTTGTTCATCATTTTTATCAGCTTTAAGTTGTTTTTGGTTCATATGAATCCAGGCTGATACAAATATTTTACACGCTCCCTTCGAATTAGTATCATCAAGATTCTACTGTAGCTGAAAGGAGCTCTGCAACACTTTACCAGCATAGTCATAAAATGCGGCCGATCGGAAGTTGAGAGTCCTAAGAACACGCGAGCCTAATATTGTGCACACCAGGAGGCCTGGAATTGGCAATTCATTCTCAGAGTCGGGTAGAAATTGTTCGCTTTTAATTCTAAAGATGGTGCCATAGGCCCAAACTAACAGCGATTGGCTAATTTTAGCTTTTTTTAGCCGCATAGTTACCATGGCTGCCACGCGTTCGTATGCACGCTCACAATCACTCTGAGAGCTAGCTGCACATTAAAACAAAAAAGGCACTTAAGGTGCATGAAAACCTTTTTCCTCTTGCTATTCGGCCCTGCTTAGCCTCCAGCACGTTTGTCGGGATGAGAGAAGAGAGAAAGTGATTATAGCATGTGAGAAAATGGTGTCTCTGCTCATGCGTAATGGATTCTAAAAGTTTTGGTCATGGTTGATGCCATTCGATGGTACTTTGAAAAGTGTGGCAGAGCTCCTTTATTGTGGCTGTAAAAGGCTTTCAGCCCCCGGTGAGATGAACAGGATGATAACGACATTGTTCTGTTTGATGTGCTTCAGATATTTCTGCGGGCAGGCACCCTGTCCCTTCTGGAGTCCCAACGGGAGGAGAAGCTGGCCTGAGGGTCTGATCCACCTGCAAGCGCACCTGCGGGGATACCTGGCTCGAAAGCGGTTTCAGCAGCGAAAGGTGGGTCTCTCTTTACCTTTGTTTCGATTAATCTACGAGACTTTCATGCCATCGCACACGTTTTCTCATGTATAGCCCACACTCCCAACTGCATGCCTACCCACTAAAGACTAACAAAAATGTAATAAGATTAAGGTGTTTCCAAGAACCCAACTTTACTGTGAAGCAGTGCCATCAAAATGACTTGCACACCGAAATGCGCGTACAGCATGCATCTAGATTCTGGTTCAAATTTTCTGTACACCATAAAATCTCGTGCAAGCGCCAAACCTACGGTCAACGATAATCCAACAGAATTTGGAGGTAGACCCTTGCTCAGCTGCCGACCAAAATTCAAGTGGTGTTTGAACAGACACTAAAAATAAGAACATACAGCTGTGCTTCTAATGAAATTTTTAAATAAATGCTTTTGAATAAATGCTTTTATTCACGCTCAAGGGGTGAATAGAAACAGTGAAATAGCGGGAGAGAAGTTGGGGAGCATTCTTGCTCTGTCAATGGAGCATGTATGAAATCTTCCGAAAAAGAGAGGGGGGCACTTGCTCGGGTCGTTACGCTATTCTAATGTGTTAACGATGGTGAAAAAGATGTAGAGACAAAACATTCGGTTGGGAATCTTGTACCCACAAAACTCAGTACCGTGTCAACTGGGTCAAGTGGAAATATAAGTCGACTCCCCAAGTTTAGGTGACCGAAAAAGAAAAAAAAAAAAGAGAAAACACGCCAAAACTGCTGAACCAAATTTATTTGCGAATTGGGCACGCCGCACCCCGATCGTCAGAGCTCCCTTCAACCACCATCGCAGCTGTTCCTATTCATCAGACGAAGCACCACTGTCTTTTGAGGACGAGAGTTTGTCCCCGGCCGCCTCCCACAGTGCGTCGTCTTCCATGCCATTCAGCGAGTTAATGATGCAACATTTTTTTAAATAATTTTCCACCATGGAATTGGAATTTGGCACACAACACCAGGGGGAAAGCACTTAGCCAAAAACAGAGGCAAGCGGAGACCTTTGTAGGTGGCCCGTCGGCATCTTCGGGTTGTCGCCACACATCCACTCTTGATAGTCCACCCACCCTCAGTGCTCGCACGGCTTGTTTAGCACAACTGTCAGGCGGCTGTAGGGTAGACGTCATACCACCTGGTATCGCGTCAAGATCCGTTTTTTTATTGCCGAGTGCGCACTTCACAGCGTTGGGCAGGTGAGCACGAAACACATCCAACATCAGCATGCTGCGAGGACACAGAAGTGCACCTGGTCGACAGTTCCAGACCACTCGTATCCATTCACCCCAGCTGCTGCGACTGCATTTCCGATGGAGGCGGAAATGTTGTAGGCCCGTGTGCTCAGATATGGGTGTACGTTAAGGAACCCCAGGTGGTCGAAATTTCCGGAGACCTCCACTACGGCGTCTCTCATAATCATATGGTGGTCTTGGGACGTTAAACCCCACAAATCAATCAAATCAGTCGTATCGATTCGAGCATCATGGCCTCGTCCATGTACCCCTCTTGTTGATGCGAACGACAACACCGGGCGGGAATACTTCCTTCGGCATCGTCTTAGCTTGAAAATGATGGATGGAAGCTTTCTACCATCGACCATGCATGCCAGCATGACAATGAAGCGCGAGTGCTCGTTGCCAGTGTAGAAGAGCTTCACATTCTTGGCACCCCGCTTCGCGATTGTGGTCGATGAAGGCATGTCAAACCACACGGGGGTCTCATCGGTGTTGCCACTCTGCCCCATCATGTAGTTGTTCTGCTCTCAAAGCAAATTTATGAAGGGCTGAAAATTTATAAGCTTGTCCTCGAACTCTTCAGCAACTTCTGACAGATGGATGTGCACCCCCGGAGAGGAAATCCTTTGCGTTTAATGAATCGACGCATCCAAGAGTTTGGTGCACGAAGCTCTTTCTTCGTGAGCCCAGTTTCTTGAGCGAGTTCCACGTATTTCCTGCAAATTGTATCCACGGTCACTGGGAACGAGCGCGCGCAAATCTTCCAGCACAAAGTTCGCTAGCGTACCTCTCAGATGCGGATGAAACGCACTTCGTCCACGAAACGACATTTTTTGAGGATTGCACATTTGGAGCTTCCTTTTCTGGGCTCTCCAATAGTGCACGCTTTTTCCCGTTACACCAAAGTGGCGCTGAGCAGCCATGTTGCAGTTCGCTTCCGCAAACTCAAGAACAGTTAGTTTAAACGCAGCTGAGAACCGCGTTCTCGTACAGCTTCTCATATTCGATGAACAAAAAAAAAACACTAGAACGTCAAATGGAGCGAAAAACTCAGAAAAAACGTGCTATTGCATTTGGATGTAGACATAGCCGTGTCCTGCTTCTCACGAACATACAGTGGACTCTTCATAAAGGGAACTCGAAGGGGAAAAAAAACTTGTTCCATTTATGAGAAGTTTCATTTAAGCAAAGCTCACAAAATGATTGAAATGTGGCTTTATTTCAAAAGTATCAACTGTCGCTGACTGAACGAAAAGATTTTGAAGTATACAATGCTACTATATAGGCAAATCTCATAAATTTGAACACGCCTAATTAGAACGTCCGGTTAATTCGAACTCACGCTGAGGTCCCGTCAAAACTAAGTGTATTTCAGTGGGCAAGAACGCCCAGTAATTCGAACATGCAAGCACTTGCGACGGGTAATTCTAACATACCGCGCTCCGAAAATGCTCTAAGCACTATGCCCAATCTTGGGGCAGCACCTCCGACACCTCTATGCTGTGTGTGAAGGAAAAGAAGGGCTGCGGTGGAATGTTTTCCCTCTCTCAAATGCCGATCTGCAACGTGCCTGTGCCACGCTTCTCCCTTTTCCGTCCCTGCCACGTAAGGACCCTTTTCTTCTCAATAACGCACATGAAAAGAGAGAGGAAAAAAAAAGGTTGTTACGGAGTGTTGGCTCTCTGTCATGCGCCGGTGCCACGTTTCCCCTTTCCTGTCCCTGCCGCGTAGACTTTCCTCTGTGCAATGATGAGCGCGAAGAGAGAAAAAAAAATCTGATGTGGAGTGTTTGTTTTCTCTCAAATATTGATCTGCATATCTCCGCATGGAGATGCTCCTCCTTTCTGGTCACGTGCTGGCCACGCTACGGCTGCGTAGCGGAGACACAGTCGTTGTTGTCGTCCTCTTTAAAGTGTCGGTGCTGGACATTGCCGCGCGCAAATTTTTTTGCCAGGAGAACGCTGAAGACGAAGTAGAAATGCTTTGCAAGCTGCGTGCGAAATGGACTCTCTGCAAGGCAAATGTGTGCATACATGCATCACGGATTACTTCAAATAATGACGGGTGTCCTGTGATTTGTGGATAAATGTAAGGTTTTTGAAACTTCCCCCTCGTGTGTTAGCTCAATGCACATGCGCCACTGCATGGTGAGCCCTCCGTTCATTTAGCTTTCATTACTTCGAACTTCTTTTAATTCGAACAAATTTCTGAGTCCCTTTGAGTTCGAACTACCTAGATTCGACTGTAGTTGATTAGAAAGAAAAATTTTGCTAATATTGCTGACTCAGGAAAAAAGTAGGTGACAACAATTTGCTCCGGGCCTTTTTCAAGCAATTTCTCACATAGTAGGCGTGCATTGCTGAAAGGCTGGACAGTAACTCTGTGTTACCATCGTGTTCAAAGTAGCCCTGCAACAAGATGACGGCATCTCTTGCTGCACTGTCAGCCACTGAAATGCGTTTGGGATCACACACCATCTCATCACCACTTGAGCACAGGTCCTCATCTTGAACTTCAGCTATTGGTTTGTCAAGGCTGTTGTCAAGTTTACGACGAGACGTCTATTGCTGCTCGACATGCGCAAACATGTGCAATCGCTGGATTGGCTTGGCTAGGCTAGACTAGGCTAACCTTGGCATTTGTTTCATGGTTGCTAGACTGCCATGGCCATTTCCACCATTCATAGATTTTGCCCATTTTAGTTCCATTTAGCCATCGTAAGCGAAAAAAAAAAAAATGTTTCCGATTACCCAAAACTTTTTATCTACAAATATATAGATGACCAACCAAATGTGCCTGGATAGGTTCGTTAATGTGGCTTTTCCGTTTAACCGAGTTTCGCTTAATGAGAGTCTACTGTACAAGCCACATGTTGCCAGACAGTAGTGCACTGTTCGGCTTGACACCACTATATAACACGAGGGGCGACTTTAGCTGACTGTTTTATTGCAAACATCTCTACTTATAATCCCGTTTATACGATAATTGGAAGTGTATACAATGCATTCTGCGTACTTAACTGGCTGATCATCAGCGGAACATGTCGTCTTTTATACATCAGTGATTGAGCACCGCAGCATTACTTTTGGTACGCACGAAAGCCCCCTTAAAATTTCACTATTCATGTCATGTGCGCAATCTTAACGGAACAATGTAAAACAATTTCAAAACTTCCCAGATATTATGCTGCTTTCCGTGCAGATCTGTGCTAACAAATATTGTGGCAGAAACCTGAATGTATCAAAATAATAAAATAAGTGTGCATGGCAATATTTTGTGCTGGTTTTACATGAGAAAATATCGAATTGTGTATGCAGGAATCAGTAGTTCTTGCCCTTTGGTGTGAACAACTTTAAACGATGAAACAGCATCTAGAGACATTGCGGTTTATGCAGTCAGCAGAACACGAGTCTGGCAGAAAGAGTGAAGCCATCAAATGTTCAGGAGAGGCCGTGTCACTGTATCAACATTAGTTCATGCTTGTATTTAAATATGAATATCGAAGAAAAATTTGTCTTTTTTTACACCGGGAGTTGGGGCGTGGATTCACACGTCTGTAAGTGTATGCATATTTTTTAAAGCATCGCAAAAGACGGGGCAAGAAGTGGACACTACAAACGCTTCTAATAAATGTGTCAGTTGCGAGTAAGTGTTCGTAGTGCCTGCTTCTTATTCTGTTTGTTGCACTGCTTTCAATAGTATGAAACTATAACAACTAGCCCAGCTGTTGACCTTGCTAAAATGTATGCACGCATGAACTTCGAGTGGTGCTTCGTCATCTGTGTTCTTTAGAGGCAGAAAAGTGGGGCACAGATTGCAAGCCGATGATTACGTGTTTCATACTTGTGATGGGTTGCATAGTAAAAAAAAAAAAAGTGAAGACAACACAGAATGATGCGCATCACTCTGCGTCGTCCCTCGTTTTTTTTTTTTTTTTCCTCTGCAGCGTATCACAAGCACAAAGACGCACCAACTAGCCCCCACAGCCGCCTTATTAGTTTGTGTGCCGTCATCAGTTTGCAAATTATGCACCTCATGCTGTCTGAAATGGACTGTTTTGTGTGCAGGTCCAGGAGCTAGCCATCTGCTGCATTCAGCGGAATGTGCGCAAGTTCCTTGAGATCCGCGACTGGCCCTGGTGGCGGCTCTTCGTCAAGATTGCACCCGTTCTCAACGTGCAGCGCACCGAGCAGGAGCTGCGTCTCAGCAGGGTCAGTTGGCCTCAGAGGCGCTGTGCAGTACTCGCGTATTCAAACACCACATTAAATTTATTAGAACGACTGGTACGTGCAGTCGTGTCATAACGACTGGGGTCTCGAAAGATAGTGTTAGGCTCTGATCTGTGGATTTGAGTCGAAATTACAGCCATACGACTAAAACTGGAGATGGTGGAGATGAAAGTATGGGCCTTACTTAGGCCTAAACTGACATTTTTGGTGTGTTTTGTTGTGTTAAGCCTTACCTAGGCCTAAACTGAGGTTTCGTGTTGTACGCGCTACAGAGAAGACATGAAAATTGTTGTATGCAGTATTGCTCGACAAGCATTTTTTCAGTCTTCTTAAATGAGGAGATCAGTATCAGTGGTACTAATGCTGAAGCTAGCTTCGCATCGTTGTGCTAGCAATTGTAGTGTCCCATATTTTATCGAATATAAGCTGCACCGCCATATGACTTGTACCCCCATTAGCAAACTGCAAATGAATTGAATACTGTTGTGAAACTGCTTTCTCTGCATTACTGTGAAGCAGATTGTAAGCCACCTTTCACTTTGAAATATGCATACTGTGTCCTGCAGGCCTACTTCAGTCCATAATTTTCTTTATGTTAAAGCGGGACGTGGCTTTCGTATCGCGAGAAATGGCAAAAAAAAATCGATTTTTTTGAAAATGAAGTTTTCAGTTTCTGGACCACTTTTTTTATATGATTCCAAAATTTCAACACTGAAAACCGTGCGACAGTGCTTCAAAAAATTCGTTCCATGCCTCCTAGATAGCGAAAGTTTTTCTGGAAATGGCGAGAAAACATCGAATTTTCCATAAATTATAGCTTCGCGAGAGCGCAGCCTAGAGTCGTATTCTTGGCCTTATCGGAAAGAGGGTTTTTCCATGTTCAAATTTCCCGCCTCAGCTGGCTTCTTCCTTTAAAACAAGTGCACAAAAAGCAAATATTTGAAGGTTGTTTTCAGGCCCCTGATTGGCTGTAGCCGCCATGTTGCCCCAGCTCGCCTCACCATTGACCCGATGCTCACTCCCAGAGATCGTCATCTGCTGCTTGTGCGTCACGAGGACATGGCTGTCAAAAATCGCTATTTCGGAATGTGTTCACGTCTCGACGATGACTTAGGATACAATTGCGCTTTAGTTAGGAGCTGTAAGCGGATGCACAATCAGATTACTAGGAGCGGGCGCGGTCTACGAGTATGGTGCGTCATCGGAGTTGTGTTTAGGCCAAACTCCGCTGATGGCAAGACTGCGGGCAAGAACGACGCGCTAGCGCATTCGTGGCTACGTGCTTCTTCACAAGCAACGAAGTTGTAAGTGGATTCACCATCAGATTACTACAAGCTGGGTGTGCGGTCTATGAGTGCGGCGCGTCATTGGAAGTTGTCTTTATTTCTAACTTTGCTGACAGTGAGATGAACTTTGCAGGCAAGAACGCCGTCCTAGATCATTCGTGGCAACGTGCTTCTTCGCAAGCAACGAAGCACATCACTCGCCAGCTCTTCGGAATCGTAGCCGGGTATTTTACGCGTCGGCTGCAGACCGCACTGCATGCTCGTTAACCCCCCTCCACTGCCAAGGATTGCTCGGAACAGCGGCTTGCAGTTTCACGCGTCGGCATGCGAAAATGCGATAAAGTGCAGTGCATGCCAGCTTTTTGTCATCGTAGGTACACATTTCGCACATCGTCACCGAACACCGCTGGCAAGTGCATCACGCGCCGGCCGCGCTGTCCACAGGGCCTGCACACTTCACGGTCATATGTAGGGCTCTTAATAAGCTTTTGTGATCCAATTTAGACGTTCTTCGAGCCTCACTTGGTATCGCCGCAAGTGTCTAAGAATGTTCTGATACGATGAAAGCCTCGCAGATTGGCGTTTCCACGAGCGGCTGTATGATGATGCGCTTCAGGGCTAGAGTGGCAAAAGAGCATGTGTCAAGCAGGGGCACAAGTTTTTATATGCTCGACTCACGTCAATAAATAAACTGCTAAAAGATTTCTGTGCCACCAGGTTGCTGCCCATAACTGTTGGTCATTTGGAAAAAAGGCTTAGGCGGTCTTGGTGTGAACCATTTTTCTTATGCAATAAACTTCTCTGTATAAAAAAATGTTCAGTGGTTATTTTTAATCAAGAAATACCTAATTATGCTGTTAACAGCTTGAACTTAAAAAAATGTCTAATCATTTTAGTATATAACCTTATTCAGTTACAATCTATTCTGTCATGCCTACTATTACATCACTCCTTCATACAAAAAACTTGGTTTAAATTCGTAGCTGTTCTTTGTAGATAAAAAAAAGGTTATGAAAAAAGAAATAAGCAATAAGGCACAGTGGGCAGAGGCCAGATGCTCGAGAAGTCAATATCACAATACAAACCTAAGATCACAATTTTCAGGTGTTTCAGAGATGTGAAAAGAAGGCGAAACTTCAAACGCAGTTTTCTCAATACTGTTTTTTTGGCATTATGCTGCGCTCGTGGAGCAGACATCTCTGCAACCACTGCACAGATTTCTTATTTATTTTTTTATTTATTATTTTTATTTTCAAATACTGCAGCCCCATTATGGAACTAGTCGCAGGAGTGGGTACACAGCAAGAAATAATAAAAAGGTACAAAACAAAACAGCTGAATACACAAGTACATTGGCAGATCATAGAAATACTAAAATTTTACAAACAGAGTTATACAAACAATGAAAGGTTAACGGCACACCGTCTTTTAATGCCTTCAAAAATTCATCTTTCTGCAAAAGACCGAATATGACCTGGTATGAGGTTCCACATTTCAATACATCGAGGAAAAAAGGTGTATTTGAAGAAATCAGTACGAGGGTGAAACACAGATACATTAAGTGCGTGGCTGTTTCTGGTGGATGATGGTTTGGCAGGTGTTATGTAGTTGTTGCGTGGTGAATATTGCGGTGAATTAAAAAAAGAGTGAAAAAGTTTCAGAGACTCGATGTCTCGTCTTTTAGAAAGTGATGGTAGACCAAACTGCGCTAGATGGCATGATGGTGAAAAATTACGATCATAGCGTCTGTAAATGAATCGAATAGCTTTTTTCTGGATGATGATGTCATAGCGTCTGTAAATGAATCACTGACATAAAACGAGGCGTTTTATGTCAGTGATTTTATAAGGGTACCATACAGTGGCTCCATACTCAAAGATCGGTCGTACGAGGGTTTTGTATGTAAGCAGTTTTGTTTCCCTTGGGGCTAAACGTAGTGAGCGGTTAAGGTATCCAAGTTTCTTCAGAGCCTTGTTGCATGTTGTATGGATGTGACTAGACCAAGATAAGTTAGTAGTGAAAAGGAGACCAAGGTACTTATATTGTGAGACCCGCTGCACTACATGGTTATTAAAAGAATAATCAAACACAGATGGGGTTTTCTGTTTACTGAAACGCATAGCAGCTGTCTTTCGAAAGTTAATGCTCATCTGCCAATTTTGGCATCACCTGCAAAAGTTTAAGAACGATGTATGGAGTGTATGATGATCATCAGGTGAATTTATTACGTGATATAAAACGCAGTCGTCAGCGTAAAGACGAATTTTAGTGGAAACTGTGTCGCGTAGGTCATTTATATATAACAGAAAAAGTAATGGCCCTAGCACGGATCCCTGGGGCACTCCGGAAGATACACTGTGCTTTAGATGAATGGAAGGTGTTAAATGATACGTATTGACTACGACTTGAAAGGAAACTTCTAATCCACTGAACAAGCGATTGGTTTTTTAGTAAGAGATTCGAGTTTATATAGAAGTTTTTTTGAATGGATGACAGTATCGAAGGCTTCAGAAAAGTCTATGAATAATGCGTCCACCTGAAGACCTAAGTCAAGAGCTATAGATATGTCATGAGTGAATTCTGTCAGCTGAGCTATGGTACTAAATCCACGCCGGAAACCATGTTGTGCATTGGACAGAATATTGTTAGTTTCGAGAAAATTGATGATGTGTTTGAAGACAATATGTTTCAGTAGTTTGCATGAGTGAGAGGTTAATGATATAGGCCTGTAATATAATACAGATTGCCTACTACCTGATTTGTGGAGTGGAAGGACTTGTGCAATTTTCCACTATGATGGAACAGTTGATGTTGATAATGATTTGTTGAAAATTACTGACAGGTATTGGTTTGTTCATAGAGAATAGCGATGAAGAAAAATATTATTAACATTGTCTGGGCTAGACGACTTTTTTGAATCAACATTTAAAATCAAATTTAAAACACCTTCTGTAGACACAGAGACATCATCAATAGAAACAAGCGAGGCATGAAGTGGAGTGCAAGAAGAAATTTCGTGATTATCCTGAGCAAAAACAGACGTAAAGTATTCGTTAAATGCATTGGCAATGACCTGCGGCTGGCTAGTAGGAGTTTCATTAAGGACGAATGTACTAGTAGAACATTCCTTTGGCGAGATTGAGCTCCAAAATTTTCGGGGATTATTCTTAACCATATTTGGCAAGGTAAACGAGAAAAAGAAGTCTTTAGCAGCATTTATTTTCCTACGAAGTTCCTCCTTCACTGTATTGAATTCAGCTCTACGCAGGGCATTGCCATTACCGCTTGCATGCCTTAGTCTTCATAGTCGACGCTTTAAATGCAGTATTTCTCTCGTTATCCATGGAAGTTCAGTATTTTTCTTTTAAGTTTTAGTGGTACATGTGTTTCAATACATTCATAACAAGGTTTTCAAAATAAGACACCAAACTGTTGACATCACCAGTATAGCTAATTTCTTTAAAAATGTCACTCGCTGCTTAAGGTGTCAATTATAGACACATCGTCAGCCAGGCTATAATCGCGAAAAGTTGTATATTCATAGCGGCGTTTCTGAACTGTACAATTAAGAGAGATCAGTACACCTCTATGATCAGAAACACCATTAATGACCAGAGCTGTAAACCCCCTTGTATACAGTAAAGCACTGAGAAAAACGCAGTCCAGTATAACATTGTCCCTTGTGGCATTAGTGAC